TTTCTGATGGCAGTCGATTGGCAGGACTCTCCCGATCGCGGAGAGATATGCCGCTCCCAGATCGGCTGCCGTATTGCAGAGATATAGCGTGCACAAGAAACCAGTATTTTCATGATATGTCAATCTTCGTAAGGCTATATCTCAGATAAATAGGGCCCGATCGATTAAGGACCTAGTCTCCCAGGATCGCGAGGATCCAGACTGTCGAACGGCATCAAAATCTCGACTTCGAAAATGAGGCCGATTTTTGGCAAATTTAATGATGTAACCATCATGATTTTTTGCGAAAATCGTGAACAAATTGATGGCCCTTTTTCTGATGGCAGTCGATTGGCAGGACTCTCCCGATCGCGGAGAGATATGCCGCTCCCAGATCGGCTGCCGTACTGCAGAGATATAGCGTGCAGAAGAAACCAGTATTTTCATAGCATGCCAATCTTCGGAAGGCTATATCTCAGATAAATAGGGCCCGATCGGTGAAGGACCTAGTCTCCCAGGATCGCGAGGATCCAGACTGTCGAACGGCATCAAAATCTCGACTTCGAAAATGAGGCCGATCGGCTGCCGTACTGCAGAGATATAGCGTGCAGAAGAAACCAGTATTTTCATAGCATGCCAATCTTCGGAAGGCTATATCTCAGATAAATAGGGCCCGATCGGTGAAGGACCTAGTCTCCCAGGATCGCGAGGATCCAGACTGCCGAACGGCATCAAAATCTCGACTTCGAAAATGAGGCCGATTTTTTGCGAATTTAATGATGTAACCATCATGATTTTTTGCGAAAATCGTGAACATATTGATGTCCCTTTTTCTGATGGCAGTCGATTGGCAGGACTCTCCCGATCACGGAGAGACATGCCGCTCCCAGATCGGCTGCCGTATTGCAGAGATATAGCGTGCTATATCTCAGATAAAAAGGGCCCGATCGGTGAAGGACCTAGTCTCCCAGGATCGCGAGGATCCAGACTGTCGAACGGCATCAAAATCTCGACTTCGAAAATGAGGCCGATTTTTTGCGAATTTAATGATGTAACCATCATGATTTTTTGCGAAAATCGTGAACAAATTGATGTCCCTTTTTCTGATGGCAGTCGATTGGCAGGACTCTCCCGATCACGGAGAGACATGCCGCTCCCAGATCGGCTGCCGTATTGCAGAGATATAGCGTGCTATATCTCAGATAAAAAGGGCCCGATCGGTGAAGGACCTAGTCTCCCAGGATCGCGAGGATCCAGACTGTCGAACGGCATCAAAATCTCGACTTCGAAAATGAGGCCGATTTTTTGCGAATTTAATGATGTAACCATCATGATTTTTTGCGAAAATCGTGAACAAATTGATGGCCCTTTTTCTGATGGCAGTCGATTGGCAGGACTCTCCCGATCGCGGAGAGATATGCCGCTCCCAGATCGGCTGCCGTATTGCAGAGATATAGCGTGCACAAGAAACCAGTATTTTCATGATATGTCAATCTTCGTAAGGCTATATCTCAGATAAATAGGGCCCGATCGATTAAGGACCTAGTCTCCCAGGATCGCGAGGATCCAGACTGTCGAACGGCATCAAAATCTCGACTTCGAAAATGAGGCCGATTTTTGGCAAATTTAATGATGTAACCATCATGATTTTTTGCGAAAATCGTGAACAAATTGATGTCTCTTTTTCTGGTGGTAGTCGATTGGCAGGACTCTCCCGATCACGGAGAGACGTGCCGCTCCCAGATCGGCTGCCGTATTGCAGAGATATAGCGTGCACAAGAAACCAGTATTTTCATGATATGTCAATCTTCGTAAGGCTATATCACAGATAAAAACGGCCCGATCGGTGAAGGACCTAGTCTCCCAGGATCGCGAGGATCCAGACTGTTGGTCGGCATCAAAATCTCGACTTCGAAAATGAGGCCGATTTTTGGCAAATTTAATGATGTAACCATCATGATTTTTTGCGAAAATCGTGAACAAATTTATGTCCCTTTTTCTGATGGCAGTCGATTGGCAGGACTCTCCCGATCACGGAGAGATGTGCCGCTCCCAGATCGGCTGCCGTATTGCAGAGATATAGCGTGCACAAGAAACCAGTATTTTCATAACATGCCACTCTTCGGAAGGCTATATCTCAGATAAAAAGGGCCCGATCGTTGAAGGACCTAGTCTACCAGGATCGTGAAGATCCAGACTGTTCGTCGGCATCAAAATCTCGACTTCGAAAATGAGGCCGATTTTTGGCGAGTTTAATGATGTAACCATCATGATTTTTTGCGAAAATCGTGAACAAATTGATGTCCCTATTTCTGATGGCAGTCGATTGGCAGGACTCCCGCTGGCATGCAAAGAGTCTTCCTGGCCCTCCGGTGGCCTGCTAAAATGAAAGGAAGAGAGAAATAAAGTAAATAAACTGATTTAAAGTGGGAAAATCACCAAAGCAGCGCAGGACACGGGAAAGTGAAGGTTTAAGCCTCGGGAAGGTACATATAAACTCAGTCTCTGTTTTAAAGCTATTTCAACGACATTTTACAGCTTATTGTCTTCTTACAGAGACCAAGAATAGGTATCGGTATCAGGATATATACAAGATACTAATCAAATGCATGAATACGTCTAAAACATATCTATCTGCGAAAAGTTTTTGATTAATTACGTTTAAAAGCAGCTTGGAACCCATTATCTCCGTATTAAATTAACAAAGTAGGGTATACAAATGCCCATACTCTGGTTGACCAAAAATGAGTCTTCAAATACCAACAACATTAACGTTTTAGTTAGCCGGAATTATTCAACAGAATATCGAAATTCAGCAATATGAACCACTATCCTTTTTCGTTTTTTTTGTTTGCCCATTTTCGCTAAAACCTTTTTTTGGATTTAATCCAACAAAAGCAATTGTTTAAAATAAGCCAGTCAATAAGAAAATAGGTTAATTAATTGGATAAAATTATGTGGGCTAAATGTTCTATCTAGCTAATAATATTCGACGGAGCATCAAAATTGAGCAATGTGGTTTCCAATCCTTGACGGAGAACGATTTACCTATTATAAACCAAAGGGGGTTTTCCATTCTCCACCGAAAATAATGCAAATTTAATCATTTTAGCACAGTTCAGGTGAAAGTTAGCGTTGTTACCTGAAGTAGTTGAACTAATTAAATAGAGGGGGCTGAAGTGGGCTAAGTTGGTTTTTTTCATCATAACGAGACGCTATATTGTTGTTGAGGAGCAAAAACAGCAAGAAAACAAGTCAAATATTTAAATTAAACCATCATTAATCGGATAAAATTATATGTATGGGCAGGGCTGAGGGTTTTATTTAGCTAGTAATATCAAAATCGAGAAATATTTAGAATATAACTTGAATTCGTCAGTATATCTATGGTATATTTTTAAAATTAAACGGTATATTTTGGTATATTTCTGACGGTCGGACGGTATATTTTACGGGGTGGGTGGGAGCCTTCCCACTGAGAGCTGAACTGATTATATTTCCAAGGTCTCTCAATTGTTGTAATTGGAAAAGCGCATACTCTCTCAATCTCTCCCCCTGTCTGTGCTCACGACTTGTTGTTTACGGGCATCACAATCTGTTTTGTGCCTCTTATCGGTAGTTTCGTTTCACAGACCGCTCCAGATAACAGCCCTTGTATGCCCCCAGCTTCAAGTAACCATTGACCGGCAGTCTATATTCCTCCTCCACCACGAAACCAGGTACCTTTCTTCTGTGGTGCGGATCAGCAGAGGAGCTTGATTGGTAAAAATGGCATCAGCAGCAGCAACCAAACGAGTTCTCTCCATCCAGAGTCATGTGGTGCACGGCTATGTGGGCAATAAAGTAGCCACCTACCCGCTTCAGGTTCGTTATCTTCCACAGGCCAATACTTTTCAAGTTCCTTCATCTGTTGCTATCTCTGTCTAGTTGCTGGGCTTCGATGTAGATCCGTTGAACTCGGTACAATTCTCAAATCACACGGGCTACAAGACCTTCAAGGGACCCATTTCCAACGAAAAAGAGCTTGGTAACGTGAGCATCCATTCCATTGATGCTATGATTATGACTAACTCCATACATCTACAGTCACGATCATCGAAGGCCTGGAGGGGAATGAGCTGCTGGGCCACTACTCCCACCTGTTGACCGGCTACATCGGCAATCCACTGTTCTTACGCGAGGTGGGAATCATTGTGCAGAAGCTACGCCAGGCTAATCCAAATCTGGTATATGTCTGTGATCCTGTTATGGGCGACAACGGTCAGCTGTATGTTCCCAAGGAGCTGCTGCCTATCTATCGTGATGAAATCATTCCTTTGGCGGACATCATAACTCCGAATCAGTACGAGGTTGAGCTGCTCACGGGCAAGGAGGTGCGCAGCGAGACTGCTGTGTGGGAGGCCATGGATTGGTTTCATAAGCGCCAGATCAAGACGGTGGTCATCTCCAGCAGTGATCTCGGCCAGCCGGGCGTCCTGCGCGCCTTCCTAAGCCAGCTGAATGGCCCCAGGCTAGCTATCGATATACCCAAGCAGGGCGGCAAGGATCTGGTGTTCACCGGCACAGGCGATCTCTTCGCCTCCCTTTTCCTCGCCCATAGTCATGCCTGTGAAGATGTAAGCGACGTCTTCGAGAAGACTATTGCCAGTCTGCAGGCAGTGATCAAGCGCACTGTCGCGTCCCTACCGCATAACGACGGCCCAGTCAAGGCCTGCGAGCGCGAACTAAAGCTGGTGCAGAGCAAGGCGGAGATCGAAAAGCCTCACGTTCTCCTCAGAGCGCAGCGCCTTAACTAGACCACGAAATTGCCCACGCGGGGTCAGCCAGACAATAATCTTCTTTTTGGTACCACAAGATGAACAGCAATTACGTTAATCATATTATATTATTATACTATTATATACAACAGATCAACGATTACCTTAAATAAATATATGCTTATTGTACGTCTCCAGTCCAGACTGGCATCTTGACAGCTCCGAAGAACCACGAGACTGTCACATGCCACGGTCCCAGTCACGGCTCATACCCTTCGTCTTGCCACCAGCAGGTGGGTGGCTATAAAAGTGCACGTCGAACGCCGGGTAAACAAGCTTAACATTGAAAACAGAAGATATGTGGCTGCCGCTAATCTTTATTGCCTGTCTCACGGTTGCCAGCGGATCCGGGAGCGACGGAAAATCGGGCGCAGACACAGCCTTTGTGCCGCGATATTCTCTGACGGCTGAAAGCAAGAACAAGGAACTGGACCTGAGTCCAGACGGCGATCGGCAGAGGCCCTCCATCAGCGAGAACGGACATCCGACGCAGAAGCCCTGGCGACGCGGAGAATACGTCTACGACAGTGTTTACACAACCAACTGGCCAGCTCCTTCTGCTCCCAATGCCATGCTGGGCCTTCTCGGTCCCCTGCTGGCACCCGGGCTTCTTTTGATGGGCGTAAATCTTGGTGCGCTTCTTTACATGCTCCTTGGCCTGCTGGGTCTGGCCCCGCCTCGGAGCAATAGACATGCGACTGCGGACGACATTTACCGCAGAGACAGACATAATCTTGGTGATGGCAAGGAAGCGGCCATATATTTTTAGTTAAGCGCGTGACGCAGTTTTCATTCAAATTAAAAATTAACGTACATAAATATAAAAAATGGTGTGGTTTCTGTTTGAATAAAGTACTCAAGACGAATGTGGTGGAAGGTTTCAAGTTTGGATTGGGTTTCGGTTGGGTTAGTGTTCTGCGGGTATTAAATGGTTTCGAGTCCCCATCAAAACAAATCGCTAACTAGTAAAGCGAAAAAAAAATAAATTAAAACTAACGTAGAGGGCGTCCCTCCTCATTTCTTCAAGCGAAACGATGCGGCCCGATTGAACTTTACCAAAGGCGGCTCCCTATTTCCAGTTCCCAGTGGTTTACGGGTTATCGTTGGATTTCCCGACATTGCTGGGAATAGATGAAAGGAATGGGATGAAATACCGAATAGAAGAACAGAAGAAGCCTTCTCTGGTACTAACCTTTTGCCACAAGGGCTCGCGGACTCTTGCGCACATAATTTCCATTGAATTTTACGTTTTCCTTGGCTATTGAGGCCGCGGCCAGGCTTCGCTGCAGTCCTTGGGTAGTAAAGTTGCTAGACTTCAGCAGAACTGCAAGTGAAAAGCATTAATTAGGTTCAAGTTACGTCTCGGCTGGGCTGGGCTGGGCTGGAAAAACTCGTCTATGAATAAGTACCTTGCTTGATCTTGTCGTTGCCACCGCGTACATTTTGGTCGGAGAGCAGATCTGTGACAATGCGTTGGTGGACATTTCGCTGTTTTGTGACCGTCGACGTCAGGGCATTGTAGGTAGTGCTTAGGACTTGCGTCTGGTTAAGATTATGTGGCTTCTTGAATGTCTTGTGCGCCTCGTCAGAGTCCGAGTCTGTTTCCAGGCTGTCGGTACTGTCCACACTCAAATGGAGATCATCGTCAATTTCAGCTGCCCGCACAAATTGGCGCTTTTTGGCACTGGCCGTTGTTGTAGTCGATTGTTCTTCGTCCTCCTCACTGGCCAGTAAACGCTTGTGCCCAGTCTTCTCAGTCTCGTTCGCTTCGAATTCTGTAGCGTTCGCCTCAGACTCAGCGAATCGCATTTTTCGGTGCAGACGATCGTACAATGCCTGTATCTCCGGTGTCAACTTCTCCGCATCCTCGAGACGATTGTACGCCTGGCACAGGACATCGCAAGCCGTGGTAAAGGATTTGCGTATAAGGTCCGAGTTCTCCACCAGCTCCCGGTTGATCAAGTACAGGTGATTGCTGGATATATTCTGCTTTGCCATCTGCAGTTCGAGATCCTTCCTCTTCACATAAAGGCCAAGGATTTGCTGAAGCTTCGATTGATTGACCTCGCGCTTCAGACTCTCCACTTCCCGGTAGGCGTGCTGCACCTTATCTTGCCAGCTCGGCAGCTCTTCCGAGTATTTGTCGTTTTGATTAGCCAGTGTAGTCATGTAGTTATTAAAACGTCGGTAATCCTAAACAAATTAATCGAATCATTCAATAAATTCCGTTAAAACACAATTTAAAATTCAAATAAGCCCGCGTTTAGCATCGTTTCTTGACTATATTACGTCACGATATGTTACGTTACGTTAGTCAGATTTTTTCAAAGTTGGCAGCCCCAAGAAACAGCTGTTCAGATCACTCGCCGCCGCATTTACTCAAACAAATTTACAAAACTGAAACAAATGCTCAGGAATACGCTGCATTTAATAGCCCTGGGTGGGCGCCAGGATCTAGTGCGGCGGTCACTGCTCCCTTGCACCGCCAGACTGTTGCCGGTAGAGAAGCGGGAGCAGCCGCAGCAAATACAGACCGGCTTGTTGCAGGCGCGCGGTTATGCAAAAGGCAAGGACAAAAAGAAGGAGAAAGGCGGCAAAGGAAAGGCGGGAAAAGTGGAAATCAATGAGCAGCAACTGCGAGAGATTATCAACTTGGACAGCCTCAACACACAAATGGAAAGGTCGGTGCAGCAGATGAAGGAGGACTTTATCAAGCACCTATCGCTACGCTCTACCAGCGGAGCCATTGACACGCTGCGCATCAAAGTGGACGGCGATGAGCACGAGCTCCAGGAGCTGGCACAGATATCGCGAAAGAATCCTAAGACGATTATTGTCAATATGATTGCCTTTCCCCAAACCATTCCCGACGTGCTGAGGGCCATCGAGAAGAGCGGCATGAATCTAAATCCCCAGCAGGACGGCACGACACTGTTCATACCCATACCCAAGGTGACCAAGGAGCACCGCGAGAATCTGTCCAAGAACGCCAAGGCTCTGTTCGTCAAGTACCGGGATGCCATACGAAACGTTCAGAACGACCACATTCGAAAACTGAAGAAGCAGCCGGACGTCGGCAAAGATGATGCCTTTGCTGCACAGACCCAGGTCACGGCCATTGGGGATAAGTTCATTGCCGAAGCGGACAAGCTGCTGGCCAGCAAGCAGAAGGAGCTGCTTGGCGATAATTAAGACTGATTGATGTGTTCGAGACCCGCTTTCGCTGATTTAAAAGCAAAATAAACTACTATCATTTGTGCACTTACCTCTTGGCACATCCGTTGGTCCTGGGACAACATCTTTCTGAACTCCTCAAAGTCCTTTTTCAGCGTCTGACGATAATTAATAATCTTAATCTTACTCCGTATGCCGATTCCGCACTCCTGCATCGTCTTAGCAGTGGCATATACAGCATCTATCCTGCTGTACCATGACTTCAGCTCCTGCGGATCGTAGCCATTGCTGCCTCCACGCTCTAGCTGAGCTACCTTCGCCTCCAACGCTTTGTTGCGCTCTTTCAGTCGCTCATTCTCGGCCATGACCTCGTCGATCTTCTTCACATAGAACTCGGTGGGCATTTTCGACTTGATCACGTTCTGCTTCAATGTGGTTCGGATCTTCTTCGCGCGACTAGCGTACTTCAAGGTGTTGTAGGTGTCTTCGTATGTAAGAGAGCTCATCGACACGTTGGCCACCATCAGAGTGCGGCAGTTGCCGCCTAGAGAGTCCTTAAGGATGCGTGTCAGGTTAGAGTCACGATAGGGTATGTGCTTGAGGCCATCGGCCAACTTGTTGATGCAGTTTCCCAGTGCCAGAAGACTCTTGTTGATACTAGCACCTTCCTTGAAGCGCACACCAATACCCTTGGTGCTGGCCGCTCGTTCACTGCCAGCCAAATCAATCATCGACAGCTTGACAGTTCGCTTTGTGTCTGTTTTCCGATCAGTGATACGTATGTGCACCTGGAAGATAGCATGGGATCGCGAGCTCTCTGCGTTGGCATCGGTTGGGTGTTGAGTGCGATGCCCGTTTCCTAGGGCCAGCATCCGCAGCAATTCTTCAGCGCTGTAGATGGGCGTCAGTCGCAGCCCGCTCACAACCACACCGTTGGAATCCTCGCGTAGTTTTAGCGGACCCGACTTTGTGAGCAGATTCATAACGTGTTCGTTGTACACCTCCAGGTATGAGACACCCACATCGAACTTTCTCGCATCACTTTGCGCTTGGATCTTCTCAAACAGGTCGCGCATGGTCAGAAACGTTATGCCGGGAGTTGCCTCGCTGCCCAGCATTGTGAATGTCTTCCCGGCTCCTGTAGCGCCATACACAAACACAGAGCAGTTGTACCTGTAAATACACACACACACAATTAGGGATGTGAAATACTTGTAAACAAAGGCATGTGAGGCCACCCTTACCCATTGAGCACCGCGTCGACCAGCGGCGCCGTACACTCTTCAAATAGTTCCTGATTTGTGTTGTCTATGTCGAATACGCGATCGAATTCCATCGTCAGCTTCTTGTTCATGCGTTTTGTGATGTCGCGGTAATTCTGTTTGGTGCCATGGAAGAAGAATTCGTCGTCTTCTTCGTCTGGATCGAAAAGCAGCGCCGATTTATCCATAACCTTGATGATGCTCCTTTGCTGATGTTCTAGTTCCTTAGCATTATACGGCCTTACTCGCACTGCCACCTTTATATTTGTGTGCTCCACAGGCATTATAATTGTATATCTCTTCGCATAAGTTCTTTTAAAGATTCAATACGAAACCATTAATTGTACCGCAAAATAATTTTCTTGTACAGCCTGAAAACGATCGTTGTTGTTTGAATGGAAACTATCGGCGATTCCCTTGTGTAGGCGTCTTTCTCAAATTTGCTATAGATCTGTATTTCCAGAGTTGCTACGATAAGTATCGATAGTGGAATGTTGCCAGAAATTTTTTTGCAAAGTAAAGCTGAAGCGTATATATATATTTATTTATTTTAATCGGCTAAAATTATGAGCTAGAACTGAGGGTCCTAGCTAGCTAATAATATTCGACGGAATATCATAATCGAGGAATATGTGGAATAGAACTTAAATTCGTCAGTATATTTACGGTATACTTTGAAAATGAGACCGTATATTTCGGTATTCACTTGAATCGGTAATAACCAGTAGAAAACACTGACTCCCGGCAACACTAATTTTCATACCCTAGGGAAAAGGATATTATAGAATTGAGAAAATGTTTGTCATCCCAGGCTCCGTAGGTATCAGGATCGAGATATATATATACAATATACTAATGATATAGGGTATACAAAGGCTATACACGCATCAAGTCTTCAAATACCAGCAACATTACGACTGTTTTGTTGAACTATTTTGTCTATGCCTTGTTTTGGTCAAAATACAATAAAAGCAAGGACTAAAAACTACCCAGCCAGAATTTTTCAACGGAATATAAAAATTTAACAATATGAACGACTATCCTCTTTCGTTTTTTTGTGTGACCTATTTCGCTAATACCTTTTTTTGTTTGACCTATTTCATTGAAACCTTTTTTCAAACAAGATCCAATAAAAGCAAGTGGTTAAAATAAGCCAGTCAGGCAGAAAATTGATTCATTAATCGTATAATATTATGTGGGCAGGGCTGAGGGTTCTATTTAGCTAGTAATATTCGACGGAATATCATAATCGAGGAATATGTAGAATAGAACTTGAATTCGTTCGTATATTTACGGTATGTTTTTAAATGAGACGGTATATTTTGGTATACATCTGAGGGTCGGACGGTTATTTTATCGATAAATCCGCGACCGATATATCCACTGCATCCCGGAACAACAAGTTTTTTTTTAACTCTAGCACAAAATTCAATTGCACGCAAATATCATAACCATGAGTGCAAAAGTATTATTCGCTTGCTCCAAATGTTTCTCGCGTCATCCATATGAAGAATTATCCTCGGGACAGCAACTTTGCAAGGTGAAAAGCAAATGGCAGAGACAATTAAATAAAGAAAAAAAAAAGAAAAAATAGCATGACTGTGGCCCTAACAAAATGCAGTAAACAAAAGTTTTGATGTTTGTGTGTGTTTTATCTTGGCAAGCGACAGCAATGACGCGTCGCTTTGTTGCGAAAATTTTGCTGCGCATTTTAAGTGAAAATGGACGGCAAGAAGAAGCAGCGTCTGTCGCGGCCACAGCGTCAGTCGTTTGTCGTCGGTGGCTGCTGTTTGCTGCTGTGACTAATAAACAACCCGAACAGCACAGAAAAACATCCGCAGCATTTACTAAACCTACATTAACCTTGATTTTCGCAGGGCTGCCGTGGTTCTACCTCAATTGTTAAATGTACTTACTGCCGCTCGGAGTTTCAACCCGCCACGTAAGTTGAATGGATCCCCAGCCTGATAATGACCCTCTCTATTGAGTCTCCCATACATGTACTTCACAGCAAATCACAGAGTGCCTGTAAAAAATGCGAACACTATCTGGGAAAATACGGTAAGCCCAGTCCGTGCGAGTGCTGCAAGATTGTGGCTGCCTTCGCGGGGTCCAAGTGCATGAGGTATGTTCACTTCTTGATTTCTCCTAGTTTGTATAAACTGAAACACAACTCTCGAGTAAATCTTTTGGTAAAAGTAGTTTGGTTCTATTCTGAGCAATGTATGGCCGTGTAATTTGAATGCACAATGTAAGAAAAAATCTTGAATATTCGAATTCTATTTTTCTTAAGTTAAACCACAGCTGTAAATCGTTTTCTACGATACCAATCCCCATAGCCTAGCTACCCAACTAATTGTGCCTTCAAAGTACATGACTTTGTAACTCCTTCAGTAGTAGACTCTTCTTTCTTGATTTTCTATCTATTGTATCAAAGAACCAGTCAAAACCAAACAATACAAAGTCTCTTATGAACGCAAAACATTTTTCTTCTTCTCTTTTCTGCTGCCACGTGTGAAAAAATTTAACAAACTCAAAATCACACAAAATCATGCAAAATAGATGCGCCAGCTACGAGGCAAAGTATGGACCACCAGTCCACTGCGACGAATGCAAGCTGCGATCAGCCTTTGACAGGCGCGACGAGAACAAAAAGGTCAGCGTCCCTCACCCTCTCTCACTGCACCCGGCCAAGGAGCGCCCTTCGGAAGCAGCCCTTAATGTTAAAACCATAAATTTAAGACAAATATATGTAGAAAAATCGAGCGTGTTAAACTGTACCAATGCTGCTCGCCACTTCGTCGATTTGCACGAACCTAAGAATCATGTATTTGCGTTCATAAGAGACCAAATCTAGTCTAAGATTAGGGCTTAAGCCTTTGTAATCGCCCTTAATCAATCACATGTTTCGTTTCGCTTCCAGGTCAATGGAAAACTCCTCTGCTGGCTGTGTACCTGCGCCTACAAGCGTGCTGTGCTGAAAGCCCAGCAGGAGGGCCGAATACCCATGTCCAAGAAGCGGCCGCATGAAAAGTCTTCTTCCTCGCACAGAGACAGCGCCTCGGCAAAGAAGCCATCGCGCAACGAGCTCGGCAAGAGTGGCGGCAGCAACAATGCCGGCGGCGTTACGGCGGTGAGCGGAGCCGGATTGGATCTTCCGGACAAGATATCACGCGGTAACAGCGGCAACGGCACAATTGCAGCCCCGGCTGCCATCACTGTGGACACTAATTCGTCCGATCATGTGGTGGCCATCACATACCTAAAGGAGCGCATCGCCAGCCTGGAGAAGCGTCTCAATCAAAAAGACAAAGAACTGCTGGAGAAGGATAAGCAAGTTAGTAACGCATGTCTTTCTATTACCAAATATCTGCTAATATCTGCTCATACTCTCTCCCTATTAGTTGACCGAGCTGAAAGGCAAGAACTTCGAAAAGGAAAATGACATGCGCAACAGGCTGAAGGAGGTCGAGCGTCTGCACGACATGAAGGTTGATAACTTGAACCGCAAAATTTCCAGTCTGATCAAGGACCTGGCCATCTTGAAAAGGAGCTGCAAAAAGGGGCCCAGCGGGTCCAGCAAGGCAGAAAGGGAAGCTATCAAGCGAGAGAATCTGTCGCCCAAAGAGGAAATTATCACGGCTGCACCAGAGAAACAACAGACCAAGACATCCGAGCCCGCCGACCTGGACAAGGACGAGAAGAGTTGCGACCGTGAGGAAGAGCGCAGCGAGCAGGAGGATCGCGCCAGTGTTCGATCGCGCTCCGCCTCAGGCTCCAGCAGCCCCAGTCCGTCATCAAACTGAGAGAGCGCCCTATTCTCCACCCAGACCAGTGTGCAACATTTCAATCCCCACGACACACACGCACACACACACACCCATACGCATGGTTGTAGGATTTGCTGCACTGCTCTTTTAGTTTTTTTTCTATTAAAGTTTATATTTTTGTACTTTGCTTTAATTGTAATATAGTTTTATCAGATGTTTTACAAACACTTTTATGTCGCTCATCCCAATCCCCACAGCGCAGAAGACGCGAATGTTTCACCTGTTTCTGTCCACTGCTTTCCCCAAAATTGTCATCATAGAAAATGTAATATTATAGGCTCCACTTAACGAATTCTACTTTAGTTTAATTCACGATGGAATGACGCAAAGCAAATCGAAAGCATTGTATACATTTTAAGAAATATACAAGTTGGGAACGATATATATATACTCAACACGCGTGTTTATTCAACATTTAAAGCTAATTAACAGTGACCAGAGCGGGACTAGTGGGGCTTGGGCTTGTGCCCGTCCACGTAAAAGTTTCTCGTTGCCTTGGGCAACTGAAGTTCGATGCCATCCATGCTCTTATCGAGCAGGATTTGGCAGCCGAGGCGCGAGTTCTCACGCAGAAAGGGAGCCATGTCCAACAGATCGTCCTCCTTCTCCTCGGCCTCCTTTAGTTTTTCGAGAAAATTGTGATCCACATAAACGTGGCAGGTGGTGCAGGCTAGCGATGCCTCGCAGGCGCCCTCCATCTCGATGCCATGACGATGGGCCAAATAGAGTACATTGTCTCCGACTTTTCCCTGCACTTTGGTGCGCTTTCCGTCCTTGTCAACGTACGTGATGTTTACTCTGCGTTGCAGGGAGCTCCCCGTTAATGGAAGACTTAAGAAGGAAGACGGTTCTACTCACATTTCATCTGGACACTTGGGATCTTGCCACTCGTACTCGCCATGCCGCAGCCCTGCAAAGGTGGAGAGATAACCATTTCATAATCTTAGATACCGATTACATTCAATTTACAGTGAATTCGCTACTGATGGGCATTCCGGTCTACTTACATCGTGTGGTGTGCAGAGCCTTGATGGACGTAAGACGGGAGGTTTTGACTATATGCTTTCCGACTAATTTGCAGGAATTGCCCGACCGCCGCAAAAGTAAACAAAACATTTTTGAGGTTACTATTTGGTTAGGGATGGTCGATAGCCGTGTACCTGTTACATAGCAGAAATATTTTTAAGCTCCCAGTCCCTGTGAAAGCCCCTGAGAGGGCTGAACAATTACGAATACTGGATCTACAGATTTCTTTGCTCCCTGTTTGTAAGGATTTCTATAAAATGTCACTGATTCAAAGCTGTGAAACTTTATTTTGGGGAAAAGTCGACATACATCACTGAAAGTTCGATATATCGATACCTTTATTTGGCGCCCTCTCATTTGAAACTGAAAATGCAAGAAAAAGGCTTATTGGGGAATAATTATTGGAAAAAGCTTTCAACGGGGTGGCGATCTATTTTGCATATGGATATATGCAATGCATGTCTTTTAGTCTCTAAAGTTTCCATATACATACATTTTAAAAGCCCAATGGATGCAAATGAAAAAAAAAACCCCTCCAAAGAACAACGAGAGCGCTTCGATAATTATATTCCTTTATTAATACTGAATTTTGATTAGTCTTAAAATTGGCTTTAATTGGACTTTAAAATGTTGTTGGTAGTTATTAATGAATAAATTTGGTGCATAATTTGCGTCTTTTTAGTGCAACGACAAAAAAAGAGAGAGTCTTTGGAAATCACTTGGCGGCTGATGGCGCGTCTGTTTTTTGAGGCTGAGCTTTTTACTTGGCCTCGGAGGGAGGCGAGGCTGACTGCTCCTTGTTGCCATTGCCATTCTGAAAGAGATCGGACGGGCCCACGTGCTTGATAGTTATGACACGCTCCTTTGGTTCATCCTCGGACACCAGAGGTGGCACAGTTATGGTGAGGACGCCGTCCTCAGTTAAAGTGGAAGCCACTGCATCCGCATCGTACTCCTTGGGCAGCGGATAGCGGCGGACAAAGTGGCGCGACACATGTCCGTGATCATCCTCGCGCTCCTCATGCTTGCCCTCCACCACAATGCAGTCGTTGACCAGCTTCACGGTCAGCTCGCCGGGCTGGAAGAGCCCCACATCGAGATTCACCTCAAAATTGCCCTTCTTGTCCCCGGCACGAATGGCACCCAGAGCGGCCAGCTCGCCGCTCCGTTTCTTGGCCACCAGTTGATGGGCATGGGCACCCATCCGGGCAATCAGTCCCAGCGTGTGAAGATCCAGCTCGTGGTGCTGTCGCGAGTGCGCGCGGCGGTACATGCGATTGGGGAACATGTCGTGGCCGTAGTACATGGAGTCGGGTGAGTCCAGATTCAAGACAAACGGAATATCTGGCATTTTCTCGAAGTTTTTCTTGATTTAGATTCTGTATCTGGTGGAAGTTCACTGAACCGACGACCTGTTTTCCCTGTAATACTGTGAGGGGTTGTTTTACCAGCGGGGGGTGAATACTACGGTAGGCGGTCGCTACTGTTTCGCGAACTATTTTCCCTGAATTTTCCGACTCAAATGTGGAGTTTCCTGGGCGCGCGACTCCTTTTTATAAGCACCACTGGCAGGGGAAAGAAAGCTTGTGCTGCAGAGCTTTATTCGCAACAGAACAGAGGAACATTCTGGGGGTCTGCTTCGAGAAACAGGGCACAGGCAGGACTCGAATCTTAGCCGCTTTATGGTATTTGGTAGAACTTACATATGTATGTTCTAGGATCTAAATCTCTGTATATAGCAAGCACTGACTGGCAGACAGATCCATATCGAGTTTGAAATTTGAAATTCAATATGAATCTGGGTGACAGCATTCAGACGTAACCCGAACCTCGACGCTATGTCAACTAGAGGCCCCACTGGCGTCAACAACAACGGCACACAAAAAAAAAGCTGATAAGCAGACGTAGGCAAACAAATCACGATTTAGACAGAAAATGTATCTTTCAGTGCGAGCGGGAAAGTCAGTTCCGTACCGACTGGCATACCAATTGAACGCCATCTTCCGCCCGCTGTGCAACATGGCCACATATGAACAGGTTAAGGACGTGCCCAATCACTCGGAGATCTATCTGATCGATGTGCGGCAGAAGGAGGAGCTGCAACAGACGGGCATTATTCCAGCCAGCCTCAACATACCCCGTAATAACGTAGCCCCAAGGTTGTCGAAAGTTTTAATAGAAAATCTTCGACTTTTCAGTGCCAGAGCTGGACAAAGCCTTGTGTATGGATAGCAAGGAGTTCAAGAGCCGCTACGGAAGGGACAAGCCGGGCAAGGATTCCAAGATCATATTCTCCTGCCGCTCGGGTAAACGGGTGCTGGAGGCCGAGAAAATTGCCAAGGCTCAGGGTTTTACAAAGTGAGTAGAAATGCATTATTTTTGCCTTACAGCTACTTAACACGGAACTTACATTTTCCCACAGTGTGGTTATTTACAAGGGCTCCTGGCTAGAGTGGGCCCAAAAGGAGGGTCTCTAAATTTATTAGTTAGATTTTTAAATTTATGTGCAATAAAATTGAATGAAGAAAGTCAAAACAAATTTGAGCTTTTCTACTAACGCCAAAGCTTAGCCATACATGCAAACACACGAGCACACACATGCACTTTAGCAACGCTAGTCGTCTCGCTTTCTCTATGGCTCTCTTCCATTGCTCTCTCTGTCGAAAGCACTGACACTGACCTACCGCAAGAAGCAACCAAAATGAGAGAGAGAGAGATATGTACAAGCAAATAAACCGAAAGCTGTCTATGGAGTGCTCTAGAGACATCTCCCTGTTGCTAGAAGCCACCGTGCCACCACCAACCACCACCACATTGACCGCTCAAAATTGCATCAGACGTAGTACGCCAAGAAAGTTCCGGATGTTTCTATACACTAGCGGCGGCACGTATAAATAGCTGGCACAGAGGGCCGGCACTCGCAATTCAACAAAAGCCCAGCAAGATAGCACCTCGCATACTGAGAGAGCAAGCAAGAGAAATTTCAACAGTTTAAGTGAAGATTTCGTCAGAATGCGTTCCCTACCGATGTTCCTACGCATGGCCGAGGAGATGTCCAGGATGCCACGCCTGTCGCCTTTCCAGGCCTTCTTCCACGAGCCGCCCGTGTGGAGCGTGGCTCTGCCCCGCAACTGGCAGCAGATCGCCCGCTGGCAGGAGCGGGAATTCGCCCCCCCGGCCACCGTCACCAAGGAGGGCTACCGGCTGACTCTGGACGTGAAGGACTACACCGAGCTGAAGGTGAAGGTGCTGGACGAGAGCATTGTCCTGGTCGAGGGCAAGGCCGAGCAGCAGGAGGAGGGCGATGCCGGAGGCTACAGCTCGCGGCACTTCATGCGGCGCTTCGTTCTGCCGCAGGGATACGAGGCCGACAAGGTCACCTCCAGCCTGAGCAGCGATGGTGTTCTAACGATCAGTGTGCCCAATCCTCCAGCTGTACAAGAGGCCCTCAAGGAGCGTGTGGTCCCCATTGAGCAGACTGGCGCTCCGGCCGGGAAGGCCGCTGGCCAGGTGGCGGAGGAAAGCACAGAAACCAGCAAGCAGTAGGGCGACCCAATGCTCTATGGAAGGAGATGACTCCTGACTGAAGTGAATAGAAAGCTAGTGAAACCCTTTAACCTATGACCTACTCCATATGTTAGCCCTACAAGTACTTCCTTAGTTTAAATACGAAAATACATGCAAGATAATGATGAACGAACGCAGGAACTATCGTTTTATTTCACCATAGTGGCACAAACCTTTGGCTGTGCCAAAATCACCTACTGGCACATCCCGTAGATCAACCGAAACACTTTCGTTTGATTCTGCCCCCAGTCGCCCTTTCCCCATCCCCCAGCACTCTGCTTGGTGACGTAGACGCCACTTGACGCGGGTCCAATTGGCCACGCTCGTGTGTGTCTCGTTGGCCTTCCTTCTCGCGGGTAGACTCACTACACTTGGCCGACCCGAGGCGCATCGGCTAGGATGAGTCACAGCTGCCCCATCCCCATTCGCATCCGGCGCTGCATCCGACATTGGGCGAGGCCACCCGGTCATCTATAAAAGAACTAACGGCGGCCAAGACAAATTTTATAAGAAATCTGAACGCGAAAGCGAACGAGTCGTTACCAAATCCCGCAAAGAAATGACTCTGGTGCCGACCACATATCGCGATCTGTCGCGCGAACTGGACAGACCCCGTCCGCTGTACCAGGCTCCTTACGACTTCCAGATGTATCCGTATCTCTGGGACGATCCGCGAGTCTGGTGGCCCGCCCACCACAGTAGCAGGAGCGACCTGTTGCGGCCCATGGACGAGCTGGTGACGCGTCGCGTCAGGAACCAACTGATACAATCCAATCCCTACGATTGGGCCTATCCGATGCGATGGGACAATTACTACTCCGGCGAGCGGGTGCACGTGGACGAGAAGGGCTTCCGCGTGGACATCGATGTGCGGCAGTTCCATCCTCACGAGATCGTGGTCAAGACCAACGACGACTATGTCATCGTCCAAGGCAACCACAACAGACGGAGCGAGGGCTCCAACGGCCTGGTAGAGCGACACTTTGTGCGGAAGTACCTCCTGCCGCGCGGCTACAACGCCAACGAGGTGATCTCCGACATATCCACGGACGGAATCCTCACCATCAAGGCCCCGCCACCGCCTCCATCCAAGTACTACAGTCCGGGCGAGCGTATGATCCGCGTCCACGAGACAGGCAAGCTGGCCCTGCCCTGGAAGTAGATGGAGCCCCTGTTCCCCAATCCAACTCTAAGCCCATCCCATAGGAGGGACACACGTACCATCCCCACTCATAAAAAAACGCGCCAAACTCAAGGTGAACTATTTTTGGGCTGGCAGGCAGAGGCAAGTGCAAACGAAATTTCAATTGGATTCTAATACATAAATACAATTTGTACCCGTGGGTAATATAAAATGCGCAATAAATTCGACCTACATGATATTTTTTGGGTTTATGGGTAGGACGGATGCGGCTGGTTGCGCCCAAATGAAAGTGTGCATGGTGGACGTTATATGTGGAAGTATTGGCGAATACAATAACAGACTTTTACAGAAGGTTTTCCTTGGTAAGGTCTCTCAGGCAGATGCTAAAGGGCATCTAACAAAAATAAGTTACTATGTAATCAGCTTCTTAGAACAGGGCGCTAGGAATCACAATCTTGGTAATCGATGAGAAGAAAATGTGCCCTAGTAGCTTCTAAAATGACAAAGTTAATCAATTAATCAAAGCTTCGGATTTAGCCTTTCCCTTTAAAAAACAAAACAGCCCAAGAAATCACTCAGTTACGTTGATTTTTCACACCAGGTGTATACATACATATTTAATAAATTATTTCTCAAGTCTTTAGCTCGTTACAAATGCGTTTTGAATAAATAGGTTACAGATTCAGGTATGTGAGGGAATGATGGGTGTGGATTGACAATGCAAGAACTTGATATCATTGATGGCATTTTGGCATTCTACTTGGAGCTGCCATGGGCAGAGCCGTTCTCCTTGCCCTTATCCTCGACGGCGTTCTGCTTGACATTCAGATGGGCGGGTCCCACCTGCTGGATCTGGATGAGACGCTCCTTGGACTTGTCCGCGATGGGTAGCGGCTTCGGAATGCTCACAGTGAGCACGCCGTCGGAGGACAGCTGGGAGACGACCTTCTCCGGCTCGTAGCCCTGGGGCACCTGGTAGCGGCGCACGAAGTGGCGCATGATGTGGCCATGATCGTCCTGTCGCTCCTCGTGCTTGCCCTCGATCATGATGGACTTGTCCACGACCTTGACGCTGAGCTCACTCGGTTTGAACTGGGCCACGTCCATGCACACCTGGAATCCCTCCTTGCCCACATGGGTAACGGGCCAGTGGATGTCGTTGTTCTTGGCCATGTGGCGGCGCGCCGCCATCACCTGTCCCGCCGGCGAGGCCGCACACATCGGTGAAGCGCACGGGCAGCCGTTGATGGAGTGGCGCTGGGGCATGATGAGATGGTGGGAATGCGGATGCATGCCCAGGCCAAACTCGTAGATGGGGCTGCGGGGCTCCTGCAGCTCGTCGACCAGAGAAAGCAGTGTAGACAACGCCATTTTGTGGTATAAAATTAACTGTATAAACGTTTAGGTTATGTTTTAAAAGAATGCACTCGCTTTGCTTTGCTGTTTGCACGGTGGAAGTCAACGGTTGTTTTAGTCCGCTTTGATCTGAGCTGCGGCTTTTATAGCCGCCACAGCCCCTTCGCTCTTCTAGAAGCGTCTGGCAGTTTCTGGGAGTGTGTGTGTGTGTGTGTCAGAAAGAGAGACCTAAAGCGAGAGAGCAAAAAAGCTTTCGGTCGTTCACCATATGTTTGTGCATGTGAGAGCAAAAATTGTTCCCCCTTGTTCGTGTGTGTGTGTGTGTTGTGTGTGAGGGAGAAAGAGTTACCGGCAAAAAAAAGCAACGCCGCTCACTTTGAATTCTCTTAATTTGTTTTTATTGTAAGTACATTAAGTGGTTTTTCCTCTAAGTTTTACTGGAATACTTGTAGTTGTTGTCACATATTTTTTAGGAAATCATACTGCTATCTCGCTCGCGTAGTAATTGAGTCGACATCATCTCCCTCTTTTTCATCATACTTAGCTTCTATCTCTGTCTGTTTATAGCGAAATGCCAAAAGAGAACACAGGAAACATTTACGAATAAAACTCACGCATACATACATATTATTTTTCTCTTTCTCTTTTCGTTTTCTTTCAGTCTTCACTTTGCGGCCACCTCTTCGGTTTTTGCCGCAGCTGCTCCATTCTCCCCACCGGCAGAGGCTCCGTTCTCCCCGGCCACTGCGGCTGCACCGTTCTCCCCCCCGTCTGCAGCCGGCTGATTTTTGGCCAGAAGTATGGCAGCATCGACGGCAGCCAGCTCCTCAGCCCCCTTGCTGGGCTTCTCCACCTTCTCGGGCTCCTTCTCCTGCTGCTTCTCTTCCCCTACCGCTTTGGCCGTGGCGGCCATGGGCATGTCCTCATCATTACCGACAACGGGCGCCACATCGGTATTGCCGTTGCCGCTGCTTCCATTGTTGGAGCTGACGGCCACGTCGTTGGCATTGGGTTCGGTTTTGGCCTCCTCCTCGGAGCTGCTTACCACAGCTGCAGTCGGATTGGGAGTAGAGTCCTCCTTGGGAGTGGAAGCCTCGGCAGTAGTTGCCACTTCCATGGACTCGGACTCTACCTTCACGCCATTATTGGCATTGGAATTGGAAGTTGTAGTGGAAGTGCAAGTGGTGGATGTAGTGTCCACTGCTTTTGCTGCAGCCTCAGCTGGAACTGCAATGTCGGCAGCGACGTCGACGTCAGCAGCGGCTGCTACAGCCTCTGCCTGGCCATTACCGTTGCTCTCCGGGGTGGCTGCTGCTGCTGCTGCTGCTCCTGCTGTTGGTGTTGGTGTTGGGGCGGCGACGCTCTTCTGCTCTGCCTCTGCCTGTGCATGTGCCTCTGTCGGAACCGGTTTCGGCGTCTGCGCATCCTTCGGCTGCAGCTGCGACTGCAAAAGCTGCTGGATGTCGACGATGCGCTCGAGCCGCTCCACACCCGCCTTGTTGGCGGGCGGAGGGGGCGGTGGTGCCTTGACGGTGAGAATGCCGTCCGAGGAGAGCGTCGAGTGGACCTCGGCCGGGTCGAAGCCCTTGGGCAGCATGTATTTCCGGATGAAGTGCCGCGAGATGACCCCGTGACCGTCCTCCTTCTCGTCGTGCTGGCCCTCGACCACGATGCAATTGTCTATGGTGCGCACCGTGAGCTCCCGGGCGGAGAACTGCTTCACGTTCATGCTCACCTGGAAGCCGTTGCGGTTCACCACGGAATAGGCGGACTTGCTGGCCGTGGCTGGGGAGGTGGGAGTGGTTCCTCCAGCTCCAGCTCCAGCCCCTGCACCGACTCCTGACCCGCTACCCTTCTCCCCCAACTCCTTCTCCAGCTCCAGCAGCGACTTATTGCAGCAGACGGTCTTCGCCCCCGCCACCCGGTTGTAGGGGTGATGACGATGATGCGGTGCTGGTGACGCCGCGTGTTGGCCCTTGATGGGCACCCACAGCACCGAAGAGGTTGTCGTGGGGCTGGTTCCCAGGCCCAGGCGCAGGGCGGGGCGGCTCAGCTGTGGGGCGTACGGGTGGGAGTGCGTCGGCGTCTGTGCCTGTGCCGGGACTTGGTGCTCCAGCGGATACATACCGAAGCCCAGGTCATCGATGTCCATGGCCAGGCTGCGGTTAAAGTCGTGCAGCTCCTCGGCCAGATCGAGTATGAACGGTATTAGCGACATTTTCCGAAACCGATTCCGTATCTGGGATTTAATCTGCTGTGCTATACTCTGGCAGTTGGATTTGTATGTGGATTTGGACTTGGACTTGGACTTCGAGTTGGAGTTGGACCTGTCTGGGGAGCTGCACGCGCGATCCGTTCTGGCCTCTAACTGGATTACGTTTGAGGGCTTATGGCTGAATGCCGGCGCTTTTAAGCGGCTGTGCAGCGCTGAATGGAAAACAGTCCAGTCTGGAAGGAAAGGTCTGGCCTGGAAGTCCGCCGCCTCTGTGGCTGTCTCTGTCTCTCTATCTTCGTCTCGTGAAAAAAGATAGAAACCCACCGAAGAGGGGGAGAAGCTGGGATCTCCCGTCCCCTCCTTATGTGCAGTCTTATTTACTTACCCAGTTTTCGGGGCGGAACTGAACATTGTCCCCCCGCCGCAGATAGAAATTCGATTCCCAAATCCCTCTTTCAGATACTATTCCGCAAACCGAAGAGAACAAAGAAAGTATTCCAGCCGAAATAAAAAACCAGGCTTGGGCCGGCAAAAGCAGGGTAAACCGGCTCTCCATTGAGACAGGGGTCTCTATACCCCAGGAGATATCATCTCTACATAATGCAAATATACACACATACATACATACATACATACATGTATGTACACATATGTAAATTGCTGCAGTTGAATTCCATTCCAGATGCCGGGCGAACAGCTGAGAGCGCACACAAAACGAAGTCTCGTGCCGGGCTGCGAGGCCGGCGAATGGAGCAACTACAACAACAGCTGGTTTTCGCTCTGCTGGAAGGCACTGTACGGTGCGGTGGGGTAGGGCAGGAAGGGTGGCGTAGTGGGACGGCGTCGCGTAATCATGCGCACTCACGACGTCTGGAGCGGAGTACATACATACATACATATGTATATGCACGTACCACGTTACATAGGACTTGGCAACAGTGTGTGCATCTGATGCATCATCTGCACATACATACATATGTACATGTGTATTTCTGTGTGTGCGTGTGGGCAACCGGTTACACACACCTACATACACATACACAAACACACTCACACCCTCCCCAGACTAGAGCCAGACAGACTCCACAGCGCAAAGTGGAGTCTTGAATGACTGGCAACAATTAAATGGGAGCACATCCAGGAGCAGAAGAGTATGCAAGGCGGCATGGGGGGATCCACGTTGTGTGTATCCGTGGATAGCAATAAGAGAGATTGCTACGTGACTCCCTATGTATGTATATATGTATATCCGTACTTACATATGTACGTACTTGCCTCCCTATATACTCCAGGGAAACAGTGTACCAGAGATTTCCCCACATAAAAAGTTACCTTCAGTTCAGGAATAGACATTTTCCATTTGCGTTGCTGAAAAATGGTGTAAATTTGGGGCTTATGTACTGCTATGAAGAAAAAACAATGTCATAAATGATATACATAACATCAGAGAAAAGAGTTTTATATGGGCTTAGGTTTCATGGATTGCACGTTGCTCAAACTGACACCAGGGAAACTTTTAAATTGGGAAACCAAATCCTAGCTTCCTGTGAATTTCCTTGCTACTTTTATTAATAAAGGTTATCAAATTGTACATAGTTTTTGTGGTAAACGAATAGCTCCTTCAAGAAACTTCTAGAAATTTCCTTTTCTTTAAGTTCTTTTTGTAATGATGTAAATACAAAAATAAAGTACATATTTATACATATGCTTAAATTTGTACAGACTATTCGTATTCCCTGTTGTTCTTAGCTTCTCCACTCTATCCCTATTTACTACGGCTCTTCCTGTATCTGTTCTCTATTCCGTATTGTCTGTCTGATTATATGTATTCCTAGGTGAAAAAATAGACATCGAAAAAATTCTAGATATTTCCTTTAAAATTGCCAATTAAATCTGGCAAATTGAATTGTCTCTTTCTTAGTCTTTCTTAATTAAATTGCACCGAGTGATTCCAGAATAATCCAGAACCTTTGCCTTTCGTGGTATTTTCCCTTACTTTTCATCCTTTATGGGCTGTACATAATATTTGGCCGTGCCTCTGATGATGGGACTTGTTATTCCACATGGCTCGCCCTGCCGCTCATTCCTTATCATTTTCCCAGCGATACTCTCGCTTTCATTGGGCAGATAATGCGTAATTTCTGCGATTCTGCCAGAAAGAGATAGAAGCTTCGTGCAGTTTCTAGATGTTGCCACGCCGCACACAGACAAAACACACACGCAAACTGCCCTCGAAGTAGAGCTGCCACCACCCAGCTGTCGTCAGAGTATAAATAGCGGGCGCTTTCGTTCGGACCGGCATCAGTTGAATTCAAACCGTCAAACCGTTAAAGCGTCAGCCAAAAAAGCTTTCTCTCAGAGAATACTACTGCAAGAAACCGTTAAAGCAAGAATAAGATGGCAAACCTACCGTTACTTTTGAGCCTCGCCGACGATCTGGGTCGCTTGTCGATGGTACCCTTCTACGAGCCCTACTACTGCCAGCGCCGCCGGGGCAATCCCTACCTGTCCCTGGCTGGACCCATAGAGCAGCAGCTGCGCCAGCTGGAGAAGCAGATGGGCGCCGGAGGACCCTCGGGAGCCATGCCGAATGTGGGCAAGGACGGCTTCCAGGTTTCCATGGACGTGGCCCACTTCAAGCCTAGCGAACTGAGCGTCAAGGTGCAGGATAACTCTGTCCTGGTAGAGGGAAAACACGAGGAGCGCGAGGACGATCATGGCTTCATCACACGCCACTTTGTCCGGCGCTATGCTCTGCCCGAAGGATACGACGCCGAGAAGGTGGCCTCCACCCTGTCCTCGGACGGCGTGCTCACCGTGAGCATCCCCAAGCCGCCGGCCATCGAGGACAAGGGCGCCGAGCGGGTTGTCCAGATCCAGCAGGTGGGACCCGCCCACCTCAACATCAAGCAGAATGAGCAGCTGGAGCAGGACAACGGCACTGACAAATAAGAGGAGCCATTGAAACCATCCTAGATTTAATCACAATCAAAGACCATAATCTGTTTTATACGTTGTAGTTATCCTTGGACACTCGCACTAGTTATGAGTGTCCTTCAGTAATGTAATCTTAGTTTTAAACAAAATGACTGTAATTTGCGTTGGATTCCTAACACTACCAATACAATATACCACAAATATATATACCCTTAAAATATACTTTAATCACTCTTTTTCTGGTTTGAATGATTGAATGGGCCAAAATCATCGGATGTGTGTGTGCACTCCATCCGATCTATCACCAATATTTCAGACGTGAGTGTACATTTCTTACTGTTCTCTTCGCTCTCTGGACGTATAATCAGCTGATTTTACCATCGCTGCATTTGTACATGTTATGTGTACATACGCGGTACATGTACATATTTTGAATAAGTAAATAAATAAATGTTCGAACGATGTATTTAACTTTTCCCGTATTTTTGTATTATTGTATATTTGTGCAATCTAGGACTCTTTTTTGTTCCTAGTCAGTCTGCCTTCCTTTCTGTGTGCGTGTATGAGGGTTTAACAAGTTCATATTTTTGCACATTGCCACATGCAGCTGCCACAGCAACCGACTGCACATATTTTTTTAAATTCTGCTTTACTTGAGATTTCTCAGCAGCAGCAGCCGCAACAGCAGTGGCTGCAAAAATGCTTGGCACAAAAAAAACGCAGGCACAACTACACTCTCGTACATACATATGTATGTATGTGTACATATAAAACAGAAACGGCGCAGGTTCAATGTACTTTCCAGCTAATATCAATGCACTGGGCTGCGCCACAGACAGCAGCACGAACGTGACTTCAAACATTTAAACAATTGAATTTACAACAACTTCGATAAGAAAAGAAAATGATTTAAATAAACGTGTTTGTTGTATATACATATGTATGTTCTTACATATGTATGTATGTACATGGCTATTTAATTTGCGTTGAGAATCTCCCAGAAATTGCAAGAACTTTCTCACACACAGTCAACCACCGGCATTGCGGTGGTGCCGGCTGTGCCAGAAAGAGCGCGAAGCTTCCACAGAGCGCGAGAGAGAACGAGAAAACAGCTTGTTGCTTGCGCCAGTGTGCGTGAGCAGAGCGTCGGTATAAAAACCCGACGTCAAGGGCGACCAGTTAACAGTTGCATTTCAAATCATGTAAAAGCATCAACGCGAGAGAATTTTTTTTGTCCATACAAAGAGTTTTGTGAAAAGAAATATAAAAATGTCGCTTGTTCCACTATTGAGCCTGGCCCGCGAGCTCGACCATGACTACCGCAGCGCCTACAACGAGTGGGATCATTTCCTGGAGGATGACTTTGGCTTTGGGGTCCACGCCCACGATCTGTTCCAGCGTCCACGTCTGATGTTGCCTCACCATGGCTCCACCCTGGGGCGCCGCCGCTTCCTGCCGTACGAGCGCAGCCACCACCATGGACATCCCCATCAGTTGGTAACCCGACGTCAGTCTGGCGGAGGCCAGAACTCGCTGATACCGGCCATCGGCAAGGATGGCTTCCAGGTCTGCATGGACGTGTCGCAGTTCAAGCCCAACGAGCTGACTGTGAAAGTGGTGGACAAGACCGTCGTGGTCGAGGGAAAGCACGAGGAGCGCGAGGACGGGCACGGCATGATTCAGCGCCACTTTGTGCGCAAGTACACGCTGCCAAAGGACTTTGATCCCAACGAGGTCGTGTCCACTGTCTCCTCGGACGGCGTGCTCACCTTGAAGGCGCCCCCGCCGCCCAGCAAGGAGCAGCCCAAGCAGGAGCGCATCGTTCAGATCCAACAAACCGGTCCTGCGCACTTGAGCGTCAAGGCCCCCGAGGGGGCCGCAGCTGCAGCCGCCGCCGATGGCAAGACCGAAAATGGCGGCGGTGAGAAGATGGAGACGGGCAAGTAGACGGAGCGGAGCGGAGGGGAGAGGAGGTTTCGCTGGCGAAAGCGGAGTGTTGCAGCACTGCTCGGAGAGTGCAAGACTAAAAGGATGCCGTTAGACCATCTCACACACAAACAGACACGAACATCGTACTTCACGCCCCAACACACACAAATACACATGAAAGGCACACTTGTCATCACATTTTAGAGTTAAGCGATTTTAAAATCCCATTAAGTAATAAACGATTTGTATTAGTCGCTATAATTAGGCTAAGAATATACATACATATGTATCTTTAATTACTGGAGAATAGATTACTGGAATAGACATTTTCCATCTGCGTTGCTGATAAATGGTGTAAATTTGGAGCTCATGTACTGCTATAATGAAAAAACAATGTCATAAATGAAATACATAAAATCGGAGAAAAGAGTTTTATAGGGCTTATGTTTCATGGATTGGACGTTGCTCAAACTGACACCAGGGAGACTTTTAAATTGGGAAACCAAATCCTTGATTCCTGCAAATTGCCTTGCTACTTTTATTAATAAAGGTTATCAAATTGAATCTAATTTTTTTGGTAAACAAATAGTTCCTTCGAGAAACTTCTAGAAATTTTCTTTTTTTTAAGTTCCGTTTTTTAAGTAAAATAAATATATTAAAACGAAGAAATAAATGATGTAAATACAAAAATAAAGTACATATTTATATGTTTAAATTTGTACAGATATCCGTATTCCCTGTTGTTCTTACCTTCCCCACTCTATTCCGTATCTCTGTCTGTCTGATTATATTCCTAGGTGAAACGAGGGGGAACGTTGTGGGTTACTGTTGCAACCGCAACTCTACATATGTAATTACCTGATACATAGTCAGTATGGCTACATTGAGCGACAATGTGTGCGTGCGGGTGAGACAGAAAACGTGTCTGAACGTGTCGTTGGGAGCTGCTTAGCCACTGCAAATTGATTTGTTCCTTTTGGTTATAATAATGTTCCGATCTGATCCAGATTCCGCAATCTGGTAGATATGGTCATTCTCTATGATTGTGTGTTTTTAGTTTTCTCGTATCTTCAATATTGTGGATGCCATAGATTTTCGTCCTTTATGGGGGCGGAAGGGGGTGGGGCGAAATTTTGAAATACACATGTAGCAGGGAGATCTAACAGGAGTGTTGATACCAAGTTTTTTTGGTCTAGCCTTAATAGGTTCTGAGATCTATGGATGCCACACATTTTCGTCCTTTGCGTAGGCGGAAGGGGGTGGGGCAAATTTTTGAAATACACTTGTGCAGGTTTGATATCACAGGAGTATGGATACCAAATTTGGTTTCTCTAGCTCTTATAGTCTCTGAGATCTAGGGGCTCTAATGGCTATATGGCTATAATAATAATTAGATCTGGCTCAGATTCCGCAGTCTAGAAGATATAATGATTCTCTACGATTCTGCGTTTTTTGTTCTCTTGTATCTTTGGAATTGTGGATGCCACAGATTTTCGCCCTTTGTGTGGCCCTTTGTGTGGAAGTGGGTGGGGCGAAGTTTTGAAATAAACTTGTAACAGTGACATATAACAGAAGTCTGGTTACAAAATGTCGTTGCTCTAGCTTTTATAGTCTCTGACTATACTGACTATATATACCGTCTCATAGAGACGGACAGACAGACAGAGCTCAATCGACTCGGCTATTGATGCTGATCAAGAATATATATATACTTTAAGGGGTCGGAAACTCTTCCTTCTGGACGTTACACACATCCATTTTCACCACAAATCTAATATACATGCATACATATGTATGTATGTACATATTTACCCCTATACTTATTTTGAGTATCGGCTATAAAAATAGCCATCGAGAAAATTCTAGATATTTCCTTTAAAATTGGTCAGGACTTGCGGAAAAATTATGGAAATAAAATCTGGCCAATTTAATTGTCTTTTTCTTAGTCATCAACTAAAGTTACTGCTAAAACGCTGAAGAATGAAACTGTTAATTAAATTGCACAGAGTGCTTCCAGAATAATCCAGAACCTTTGCCTTTCGTGGTATTTTCACTCACTTTTCATCCTTTATGGGCTGTACATAATATTTGGCCGTGCCTCTGATGATGGGACTTGTAATTCCACATGGCTCGCCCTGCCGCTCATTCCTTATCATTTTCCCAGCGATACTCTCGCTTTCATTGGGCAGATAATGCGTAATTTCTGCGATTCTGCCAGAAAGAGATAGAAGCTTCGTGCAGTTTCTAGATGTTGCCACGCCGCACACAGACAAAACACACACGCAAACTGCCCTCGAAGTAGAGCTGCCACCACCCAGCTGTCGTCAGAGTATAAATAGCGGGCGCTTTCGTTCGGACCGGCATCAGTTGAATTCAAACCGTCAAACCGTTAAAGCGTCAGCCAAAAAAGCTTTCTCTCAGAGAATACTACTGCAAGAAACCGTTAAAGCAAGAATAAGATGGCAAACCTACCGTTACTTTTGAGCCTCGCCGACGATCTGGGTCGCTTGTCGATGGTACCCTTCTACGAGCCCTACTACTGCCAGCGCCGCCGGGGCAATCCCTACCTGTCCCTGGCTGGACCCATAGAGCAGCAGCTGCGCCAGCTGGAGAAGCAGATGGGCGCCGGAGGACCCTCGGGAGCCATGCCGAATGTGGGCAAGGACGGCTTCCAGGTTTCCATGGACGTGGCCCACTTCAAGCCTAGCGAACTGAGCGTCAAGGTGCAGGATAACTCTGTCCTGGTAGAGGGAAAACACGAGGAGCGCGAGGACGATCATGGCTTCATCACACGCCACTTTGTCCGGCGCTATGCTCTGCCCGAAGGATACGACGCCGAGAAGGTGGCCTCCACCCTGTCCTCGGACGGCGTGCTCACCGTGAGCATCCCCAAGCCGCCGGCCATCGAGGACAAGGGCGCCGAGCGGGTTGTCCAGATCCAGCAGGTGGGACCCGCCCACCTCAACATCAAGCAGAATGAGCAGCTGGAGCAGGACAACGGCACTGACAAATAAGAGGAGCCATTGAAACCATCCTAGATTTAATCACAATCAAAGACCATAATCTGTTTTATACGTTGTAGTTATCCTTGGACACTCGCACTAGTTATGAGTGTCCTTCAGTAATGTAATCTTAGTTTTAAACAAAATGACTGTAATTTGCGTTGGATTCCTAACACTACCAATACAATATACCACAAATATATATACCCTTAAAATATACTTTAATCACTCTTTTTTCTGGTTTGAATGATTGAATGGGCCAAAATCATCGGATGTGTGTGTGCACTCCATCCGATCTATCACCAATATTTCAGACGTGAGTGTACATTTCTTACTGTTCTCTTCGCTCTCTGGACGTATAATCAGCTGATTTTACCATCGCTGCATTTGTACATGTTATGTGTACATACGCGGTACATGTACATATTTTGAATAAGTAAATAAATAAATGTTCGAACGATGTATTTAACTTTTCCCGTATTTTTGTATTATTGTATATTTGTGCAATCTAGGACTCTTTTTTGTTCCTAGTCAGTCTGCCTTCCTTTCTGTGTGCGTGTATGAGGGTTTAACAAGTTCATATTTTTGCACATTGCCACATGCAGCTGCCACAGCAACCGACTGCACATATTTTTTTAAATTCTGCTTTACTTGAGATTTCTCAGCAGCAGCAGCCGCAACAGCAGTGGCTGCAAAAATGCTTGGCACAAAAAAAACGCAGGCACAACTACACTCTCGTACATACATATGTATGTATGTGTACATATAAAACAGAAACGGCGCAGGTTCAATGTACTTTCCAGCTAATATCAATGCACTGGGCTGCGCCACAGACAGCAGCACGAACGTGACTTCAAACATTTAAACAATTGAATTTACAACAACTTCGATAAGAAAAGAAAATGATTTAAATAAACGTGTTTGTTGTATATACATATGTATGTTCTTACATATGTATGTATGTACATGGCTATTTAATTTGCGTTGAGAATCTCCCAGAAATTGCAAGAACTTTCTCACACACACACACAGTCAACCACCGGCATTGCGGTGGTGCCGGCTGTGCCAGAAAGAGCGCGAAGCTTCCACAGAGCGCGAGAGAGAACGAGAAAACAGCTTGTTGCTTGCGCCAGTGTGCGTGAGCAGAGCGTCGGTATAAAAACCCGACGTCAAGGGCGACCAGTTAACAGTTGCATTTCAAATCATGTAAAAGCATCAACGCGAGAGAATTTTTTTTGTCCATACAAAGAGTTTTGTGAAAAGAAATATAAAAATGTCGCTTGTTCCACTATTGAGCCTGGCCCGCGAGCTCGACCATGACTACCGCAGCGCCTACAACGAGTGGGATCATTTCCTGGAGGATGACTTTGGCTTTGGGGTCCACGCCCACGATCTGTTCCAGCGTCCACGTCTGATGTTGCCTCACCATGGCTCCACCCTGGGGCGCCGCCGCTTCCTGCCGTACGAGCGCAGCCACCACCATGGACATCCCCATCAGTTGGTAACCCGACGTCAGTCTGGCGGAGGCCAGAACTCGCTGATACCGGCCATCGGCAAGGATGGCTTCCAGGTCTGCATGGACGTGTCGCAGTTCAAGCCCAACGAGCTGACTGTGAAAGTGGTGGACAAGACCGTCGTGGTCGAGGGAAAGCACGAGGAGCGCGAGGACGGGCACGGCATGATTCAGCGCCACTTTGTGCGCAAGTACACGCTGCCAAAGGACTTTGATCCCAACGAGGTCGTGTCCACTGTCTCCTCGGACGGCGTGCTCACCTTGAAGGCGCCCCCGCCGCCCAGCAAGGAGCAGCCCAAGCAGGAGCGCATCGTTCAGATCCAACAAACCGGTCCTGCGCACTTGAGCGTCAAGGCCCCCGAGGGGGCCGCAGCTGCAGCCGCCGCCGATGGCAAGACCGAAAATGGCGGCGGTGAGAAGATGGAGACGGGCAAGTAGACGGAGCGGAGCGGAGGGGAGAGGAGGTTTCGCTGGCGAAAGCGGAGTGTTGCAGCACTGCTCGGAGAGTGCAAGACTAAAAGGATGCCGTTAGACCATCTCACACACAAACAGACACGAACATCGTACTTCACGCCCCAACACACACAAATACACATGAAAGGCACACTTGTCATCACATTTTAGAGTTAAGCGATTTTAAAATCCCATTAAGTAATAAACGATTTGTATTAGTCGCTATAATTAGGCTACGAATATACATATGTATCTATGATAACTGGAGAATTGCATTCTCGCTTTGATATTATACTTTTTTTTTGTAACAGAACAGCCGCAACACTCGGAGAGAATTTTGCATTTCTTTTGTGAGTAATCAATCAATCGAATAAAATATAAATAAAAGAATTCCCAGCTGTCTAGTGTAATATTCATTGCCATCTCTTTCGCTCTGCCATATTACTAGTTCGTTGCACTCTTCGGTTGCTTTGAGTGCACATGCAGAGCTGTCTGGCTATTGTTCATCTTTTGACTGGATCTGGATCACTCCCCCGCAACAAAACGCAATTTGTCTTATGGATATTGTAATCATTTGCACATATTTATTTAAATATTTAGTACATAATAAAAAAATGTAGTTGTCCCTTTTTGTTTATTGGTTTCTATGCTCGTAACTCGTAGCGATCATAAGTATGTACTGTAATGCTATATAGTCTATATCTAAAACGGCTTTCATTCATATCTTTCAGCGAGAGTGTGGAGCGGAAGAGAGAGAGAGAGAGAGAGAGGAGAGTGTAGTAGACAGGCAGGCGGCCACTCTCTCTCTCACATGGCTCCGAAGAGCTGTCGCATTTTTAACCGCGAAAAAGCTTTTAGTGGTTGTCATGTTGCTGTTGTTGTTGTTGTTTTAGTTGTTGTTAAGTAAAAATGTTGCTACTTTTGCAGGTTGTAGCTGTAGTTGTAGTTGTTCTTTTTGTCAATATGTATGCTTGCATTTATGTATGTATGTATGTATGTATGTATGTATGTATGTAAGGATGTACGTTTGCATTTAATGTATGTATGTATATTCAATGACGCTTAATCACAGATCAATTTTTAAAATTTCATTTGACTTAGAAGTTAAGAAACAAAGTACACATTTCACATCATCAGACCATGACGATCCTTCGATCCATCGATCCTTCCTCCATCATTCCATCTCGTACTAAATATTACTTTCGTTTGTTGGTTTTTGTGGATTTTTTGGCTTTGGACAGCGGGCTGTGGAACTCAAGTGAAATGTCTGGTGGATGTGGATGTGGATGTTGGATGTGTTTTTGGGTTTGTGGATCACGAATACAGAGACAAAGCAGCGACTAAAACTAGTTATATATTCCACACATTCTTATGTTCTCTTTGTTCCAAATGAAGAACAAATTCCACACCTGCTCTTATCGTATCGTACAGTATTATCTTCCTTTAAGTGGTTTTCTTTGCAGTCTCAAATTGTTGATGGGGTTTGCTATAATATGTAAAACAAGGAGAAGAACAACTAAGTGGATCCTCCGCTTGGCAGGAGTCGTTAAAGCAGGGCTTGTGCGGTATAAAAAACATGTCCATCTCCATATGTGGGTATCTTGTGTGTAAATGGATCGTTGGTCGGCTTCGACCAGCGATGAATACTTGAAAACAAAGGGGCTCCGGTGTGCGGGGAGGGTAGGGTATCGGGTAATAGAGAGCTCTTAGAGGGGGGGCTTCAATCACTTTTTGATAAGACTCTCGCAGCTGCTGCTGAGATTTGGCAACGACTTGAAAAAGAGGCGCGACCGATCCATCTGGGCATCGGTGGCACTGTGTCCCTTGCATCTCCCCTCCGGTCCAGCGCAGGCCCCGTTCACGCCTCTGTCGAAGGAGCGGTGCATGACCAGAGTGGGCTGCGGATGCTGGCTGGCGTAGGCTGCTGGTGGCGAGAGGGGCGACGTTGGCAGGTCAATGTCCAGCACGGTGTCCGCCGTACTAGCTTTTAGCTTAGGGTCTGAGTAGCGGCGCAGCTCCTCTTTCACCTCGCCCTTGCCCAGACAATCGGCGGCACAGCAGCCGATGGGCTGGTCCGATCCCAGAATGCTCGAGTGGCGGTAGTCTATCTTTGGCGGCGTGCTGTAGTCGTACGGGTGCACAGCGGTGTCCAGGCTCACGCTCGGGTCGTTCAACATATCACGGTTCTCCAGAAAAATGGACGAGTTTGAGTAGCGCTTCGTCTGGTGCGGCTTGTATACGAAACCGCCCAGCCCATTGGCCACGGCATGCGACAACCCCGAGCTGGTCGAGGGCGCCTTCTGTTCCCCGCTGCCTGCAACAGAGAACAGTACACATTATCACCCACTCTTTCCACAAAGGAGGAGGAGGAGCCACTCACCACTGAAGCTGCTGAGCTGGAGGGCGTGCTCGCGGCCCGTGTCTGTGGAGATGCCGCTGGCACTGAGATCCTGCCGCGAGCCCGCACACAGATCCGTGGCCGAGCCGCGACTCGAGCCCTCCGAGTGCTCCAGCACGTTGTGTATGGAGTCGTGAAAGGGGGTCATGCTTCCCGATCCCTGGGGACAGGGCCTGAACGAGGAGATCTGCGACACCACATCGTCCAGCGCCCAGTCGCGATCGTAGTTGTGATGCGACTGCGAGCACTCAATGTTGGCGGCCACCGCCACCTGACCCAAGGGCTGTCCCGGTAGCTGCTGGCGCTGTCCGAGTGCGTCTTCGGTTTGAGTGCAAGCGCTGCTGCTGCTGTGAGGCACCTCCAGCTCTGCAGCCAACTGCAGCATGTGGTGTGGCGAGGCATTCAGCAGCCGCTGTTGCTGCTGCATCTGTTGTTGGTGCAGGCCGCCCGTACCCGCTCCGTTCTCCAGTGCCGAACAGCTCGAGTCGTGCGTGGCATGGGCTGCAGCCACGCCAGTGGCATTGATCTCCACCGCTCCACTGGATGTCCCTCCGTGCGCAAGGGGCTCACTGAAATGCTGATGGTGGCGGGTGGCCACTGGGGAGGGCGGTGCCAGCGGATGGATCTTCTCCGGCGCATTCTGAATCAGCAGGATTCTGTGGGAGGATAGAAAAAAGGTTGAATGAGTGGTTGGAAAATCAAGCGCTGTGGATCCCCGGGAGGGATACCAAAATCTTATACATAGGTTATATAATATTCAAATTTCTCCAAGACCTGTTACAAATTGCAATATCTCTGCCAGTATTTTAATCATCTTTGAATACGTTTCAAATAAAAAACGTGGGGTAACGTTGCTCTTATTTTACACCTGGTACCCGGGAGCTTATGATTTATTTAACCCATGCAATATATGTATTTTATACGTTATTATAAGTCAGCGCCTGATTTGGTATCGCAGCCGATGAATGACGCATGCTTTCTCTCTCTCTCTCTGTCTTTATACGTATCGCTCCACTCCGCCAGGGGGCGCACACTGCACGAGAAAGCTCGTGTGAAATAGAGAGAGAGGGAGATATAAAGCGCGTGGAAAAGGTAGAAAAGGCACTGTAAATTAATTTGTTAATTCTATAACGATACAATCTGATTCAGCAATCTGCTAGTTACATATGCTCATTCTCTATATAATATATAATATCTCTATAATTCTTAAAGTTGTAGTTGCTACAGATGCGGCGAAATTTGGAATAACACCTGTAGCCGTGTGATATCAATGAAGTCTGGATTGCTCTAGCAATTAGTTTCCGAGATCTAGGCGCTATACATATATACTTTATGGGGTCGCAAACGCGACCCCCACAAAACTAATACATCCCTAAACTCTTCAAGTACCGGGAAATGGGAAATACAGAATAAGTTATTCTCTATGGATGGGTTGGCATTTCGACAGCTTAAATAAACTTAAAAACAAGACCTAAACGTGTCTTTTAGCGTATGGGTGATTAAGGAATAGATACAGTTCCCTTTTTTCGATTATTTTGCGACTGCAGGTGCAAGTTATCAAAGATTCTGAAATAAATTGTGCCCCAAAGAGCAGCCTTAGAGAGCTTTTGGAGAGCCCTTCCAATTGTTAACATTAAGATCTCTCTCCGTGGCTAGGGATCTGTGATGCTGACCTGTTGCGTGCCTTCCAGCGGTGGCAGAGATGCAGATAGGCCTTGCACTGGATGTACATGAAGACGATGCCGCCGGTGAGTCCCACCGTGACTACGGCCAGCTTTGTCCAGAAGGGCCAATCTATAACGAGCACAGAGAGAACGGGTAATTAGATGCCATAAGCAGTTTTCAGTAATGACAGCCCAGCGGTTCAGCTCAGTGCGGTTCGGTTCACGGGGGGCTAAACAATTATACAATTATAGATATTCTGTGCACCTATCTGACCCGCATGAACCTGGAGCTGGCACGGGGCGCTAGAGCTGGAGCCGGAGCTGAAGCTCTGGCAGCTAATTGCGAACGAAGTGTACCTATGAGACCACGTTGCACGTCGTCTGCAGCCCGCTCGATGAGCACACACAGCGACCAGATGACGCACAGGGCGGCCGCGCAATGGAACAGCACCGAGCAGCAGAGGCGCCGACGCTCAATGCCGGAGATGTCAAGGCTGCGCCACTGCAATGGAGACGAGCCCAACCGCAATGGGGACACACATACATCAGCATCAGCATCCAAGTAGAAGTCCAAGTCCAATCGATGCAACAGCAGAAGCCAAAACAATGCCAAGACGAAATCAAATGAAATAAATTAGATGCGGATTGAAATGGAAACAAGAGCCGGAGACTTACCTCGTTGAAGGGTTTGATCTTGGTGTGCATGATGAAGGGGAACTTGCACAGCTCGCAGGAGTTCGTCTCGGAGGCAGTGAGCCATTGCTGCAGGCAGGCCTGGTGCACGTACTTGAGGCTGCCGGAGCAGTAGCAGGGCGTCAGCAGAGGGTTCGAAGGATCACTCTCGCAGTGGCAGATGCGGCAGATGTCGCCGCTGTTTTGCGAGGCCTGGCTGCTGCCAGAACCGAATCTGCAATAGAGCACAGAGAATATCAGTAAATGGTTCACCTTTAGTGCCATGAAATACATGTACATGTACATGTGAATGCCACGTTTGGGATTCCTCTGTCCCCTATCTGCCCTGGCTCCATCTCAGCCCAAGAGTGAAAACCAACGGAAATCTCTCTTTATCTGGTTTGATTGGCAACACAAAAAGGCAGACTCGGAAGCTCAGGAGAAGCGGGTGAGGTAGCGGGAGCAGGAGCCCAGGAGCCCAGGAGCCCAGGAGCCCTTTGTGCCCGTTGCCCTTTCAGCGATGTATTGGAATTGAAAATGAGTGATGCCTCAGCTCCTGTTATACTCATTTATTAACCTTATTATGCCAATTACAATACACAACGAATGGACAGTGCGTTTCAGCAGTTTAAATGGCAGTTCAAAGCTCCGCCGTAGGAACAATCATTTCAACCCATTGGTGATTGGGTGTTGAATTTTGCGAGCAATTAGGTCATCAAAAAGATATTAGTAATCATGAATCTATCGGCTGTCGTCGAATTAAGTCGGCAATTGGAAAAATTCATTTATGAAGCATCAGTAAATTGGATAAGGAATATAAACTGTGGAATAAATTAACTAATCGAATGGCGATAATTATCGAATAAATGAATTTAATTTCCATTAGGGCATCATTCGTTAAATATACAACGCTGACAGGCGACAAATTAAGTGGCGATCATCATTTGATGGGCGTCTTGGGGGATGTGCCCACTAGACAGTTACTACAGCTGTGAAACGCACTGTACACAAGCCCCTCGGACCAATGTATGTACATATAAAATCATTACGCCTGATAAGCCACCCAAGGCAATTCCATTCGCCTTTTTGCATTCATTTTGAAAGCATAAATTAATATAAATGATGGAGACTCCAGACATGTACATCTGAATAATGTTCGGGGCAAATTTCAATGAAAAACTTTCATTCAGAATTCAGTAAGGCAGCGACGGATGAATCAGAATTTCAGCTGTTAACTTTTTTGCCTTTTTCCACCCAAAGAGCAACCATAGTAGAGTCACGTTCTGTGGCCATGAAGACAAGAGAGTCGAAACCATAAAGAGGAATCAACAGAAATCCCCCCACGAAATGGTTATTCTATGAAAACCCTAGGCTCAAGTGTCAAATCGATCGCAACGAAATCAGAAACAGGAAGCAAATGAAGTTCAAAGACCCATTAGAATCGTCACATCAGATGGGGCCTTAACGAGCGCTGATCCAAAGAGAATACTCGAAAATATGATGCTCAAATTTTAGTTCATTTTTGCTGGTATAAATCATTTGTATGACAGTTCCAACGAAGACCTCCTCTATAACCTTCTATGCCATTTTACCGGGGGCTATATAAATACGCATTATCTTACAGATTTATTAAATCCAAGAATCCAAGAATCTAAGAATCCAATCTTAGAGTAATTTCCATGTATGACATCAATCTGAGTGTGTTTCAGAACTCATATGTACATCTGTAAGTCCCAATCCCAATGTAATCAAATGTATTTTTATATATATAGCATTACTTGGACTTTGCGATGGGGCGATCCGGTGGATGGATAGATGAGTGATTAGCATGTGTGTGGGAACGAGGGCCGTGCCCGTGCCAGTGCCTCTCTCCGCCTTCCCCCTCCGCCAAGTTCCACTTGGCTCTGTGGCAAGTTCTCCTCTGGACAAAGGCAATTAGCCTTTGTTGGCCGCCCTATCATTATGGCTGGAACACACGCCCGCCCACCACCACCTGTATGCCAGTGTACCTGTGTGTGTGTGTGTGTGTGTGTGTGTAGTAATATCTAATCCAAGCAAGGGCCAGTGGATGGATGGGAGAGAACTTTTACTTTCTGCCTTTTATCTACTTCCATCTCCCATACCCATAGCCTCTCGCTTTCTCTTCTGTGTGTGTGTGTGTGGTGGCACTTGTGTCTGCTTCTATTTAAGAGTTCAGCCCGCAAGTGCGTGATTCAGTCGAAGGACAGACCCTGCGGCCAGGACCAATGGACAAATGGACGAATGGCAAGAGCCAAAGCCCAGGCAAAAGCAAAACCAGAGGCTCCTTCTAAACACATTTGTTGTGGCTGTCAACAGCGACATGGTCATGGACATGGGACATGTGGGCCATGGGACATGGGACATGGGAGTAGAGTTTAGTTGGACAGGGGGTGGGGGGGACACGTCTCCCCCTTGTCTAATGCTCGTGTTTCGAGTCAATAGACTGTCCTTGGATCGATGTATCGCATTTGTGGCCTATACCGCAAGAGCTTCCATGCTTAAGTTCATAAAGTACACAAATAAAGTACATATACACTCAGAAAAAAAACCAATTCAAAAATCAAATAAAAACATCCTTCTGTTATGGCAAATAACGATCTAAAACCGAATCAGTCGAAGTCTATTCAATGAAATGGGAAAGTGCTTTCTTATAGAAATGACATCATCATCGTACACAGGCCTAGTGCTGTCCTAAGTGATTTCCCTCAGTGTAGGTCGTACATATGTTTGCCTCTTAGATAGTTATCCTTTTTAGGGCCCTCCTTTCTGCTTCGATGGATGCCAGCCAGCCAAAGACGCCAAAAGCAACAACATTTCTATGCGTAAGTCGCAATTTTTATGACTTCATTAGGCTTTTGGGGGCTCCAGACAGTCGCCGGCCGTGCCTTCTTCCCACCTCCAAAGTCCACGAGTCCATGAGTACTCAGTGGCAAACATTATTCCTCGATGAGGGGCGAGGGCAGGCACTCAATAAATTCCACAAATTTTCAACAAAATTAGATCGGAAATGTCGATTCAAATGTCGGATCACTCAGCACTACAGGGAACGCGAGAGAACAGCAGTATTTCCCAGAAAGATTTATCATGGATCGCGGATCAGCAGCTCGCTCCCTCCACCTGGGCATTTCATGTAACACTTTTTATATTGTACTTTGCCAAAGGGCATCTATAAGTACGGACAAAGCAAACACTTGCAGTGCTATCGCATTACGCCCTGGAGAGGGGCCAGGCAGGTGGGGGATAGGGTTCCAGCAAAATTCGAAAGAAGAAAACAACACGAAACTTTTTTGCCCCTTTGCCTCTTGGGTTTCCGTTGCGAAATGCAGCTAGGTTAAGCACTTTTTGTACCCGATACCCAAAGAGTGCCTCGTATAAGGGTATACCATATTAGTTTTGTGGTGGACGTGGCAGCGGATGTGGATGTAACACCCACAAGGAAGTGTTTCCGACCACGTAAAGTGTATATCTTCTTGATCGGCATAAAAATCCCAATCGATATGGCCACGTCTGTCCGTCCGTCCCAAAAAGCTCCTAGATTTTGTATCCAAACTTCTGTGAAGTCACAAGTATATTACTTCGCTCCGTCCCCTTTCGCACCCCCACAAAAACGAAAGTCTGTGGCAGAATCATGGAGAATGACCATATCTAGCAGATTGCCGAATCTGGATCACTCATATCGTGCAGTGTGCGGCCTCTGGCGGAGGCGAGCCGCGGCCCTGGCTGCGACCCACAACATTCACGCTGGTTCTTATTTTTTCTGTTGATTTGTTGATGGTTCCCCTGTAATCCACAGTCGCTTCCTGCTTTCCAAGAATATAAGATTCAATTGAGAACGCATTATAATCTTTTATTTAATTCCGGGAAAAAGCTATCAGGACAAATTTCCTATCAATACAAAATGGGAAGCACAAGCACAGCACAAGTAAGAAATCTAGAAAACCCCATACTAAGATGTACAACTGATTATAACCACTAATATTTGGCTCTACCAAATATGTTAGTTCTATCTCTCTTTTATCAATCATTCAGGGCTGGAGTGGCTCTATTGTGGGTTATTCAACAGATGGTAAAAAAACAACATTGTGTGTATTTTTGCTATCTCCCACTGTTATCGATGGCAAACACTATAAATAATCAGTAGAGTTGTTCGGATTATTGATAACGTTGTCTTGACGAAACGATTCAGGGAGGAAGCGGTGGGAAAGATTTAACTGGTAGCAAAGACTACCCTTTCCCTCCAGGCTAATCCTCACATTCTCGTCCTCTCGTTGGGCATCGTTAAATGCTTCTCCTTCCAGCCTTATCATTTCGAAGAGAGAGATTAAAATCTTCATTGCACTCAAATTTAATTACAAATAAATTAGAGCCTTTTATTCGAAATTTTACTCCAGCAACAGTCCAACGAAACAGGGCACGGGCACGCCCTCCCCGGACCGACCAGATCCGACAAATAAACGTGATATCAAGACAGGGGGTACGGACCCGAGGGGGAAGTCTGTTGTGCTTTGATATTTTGCGCATTATTTTTTTGTGTTTGCGCCTGTGTTTTTGAAACTTATTTTTAAGTCCCAACTGGTTTAAGTTCGAGGTAATGCCGGGCAATTAATGCAAAAGTTATGCAGAGAGAGAGAGGGGAGGGAGAGCAAGAGATGGGGGCGCCAAATATAATGTGTTGCGCACATGGAATGAAGTTGCCTTTGTTTGGCAACCTATTCGACGACAGGCTGTACAGTAGGACTTCCGTAACACAAACTGCCACCAGAAACTGCAGGGGACTGCGTGACGGGACTCTGTTTATGGTGCCTTTTATTGTAGCAATTTTTCCATAATTGTTATCCATTGTTTCCATTCTTCCATCTTTATGATTACAAAGAAGTCTCATAGATGGTCATGCTGCTATAGAAGACTTTAGATTTTAGAAGGCCCTAAGAATACCTAATGTTTAGGGGTCCGTCATCTTTTTAGGGATTCAAACGTGTCCATTCGCTTAGGCGAAATTTGTACAGCGAATGAACGGCAACAAAAGCTTTTCAGTCTGCAATTTTTTGAAATCTCTGCAGAAGTGCCACTGTGCTCGCTAGAACACACCCTTAACCCTATCCCTCTCTTTCGAATCGTACAACAATAGTTTGCGGAAACCTTATCAGCTCTATATACCCCGCTCCGCTCCGCCCCACTCCGCTCTCTGCTTTACATTTTCATTATACTCTGTAAATATTTGGACGTAATTGCCCAAGCCATACATAGTATACATGCGATACATGCGAGAGTACTATATATGGAGTTAACAGCAACAACAGTTGTCAATATTTATTCAACAGAAACGAGAGCGAGAGACACATTTCAACAGCTCAACGACAGATTAGATTTGCGATGTGTGGCGGCTGGGCCGTGCTGCTCACCTGCTTGCCAGTGGCGATAAGCCCTTCAAAGTTCGGGCGGACAGGTGGGAGTTGGCACCGAGAGAGTGTTGGGTTGACGTGACGGGCTCGTGTCGTCCGCCTAGATTAAAACGTCACGGCTCCCCGAGCGGCTAGTGCTGGGCTGAGTGCAATAATTATGACTGGCAAATATAACCAGAGCGCTCTCGCACTCGAGCGCACACATTTGCTAAGGCATGCAAATCCGAGCGAAAGTGTTGACCCGACGAGACCCTGAATAAACTTTATATAAATCCCAACTAATTACCAATTAGTCAGCCAGATAGCAGGCGCCAAGCGGCAAGCGATAAGTGTCCAAGCACTTGACACTTGAACAGCATTATAAATCCAAGTGCTTTGCATTGCAATTGGAGCCGATCAGAGGTAGATCTTGTTAGATACCTTAATCTATCGCTCCCCAACCCCAACCCCAACCCCAACGAATATCATTAATGGTTGTCATTAGAAGGCGCTAAATGTTGATATCTGAACCGCAATTAAATTTGAATTTGAATTTGTATTGGAAATGGAGCAAAATGGATATGACCTCATCCGCATGTGAATCATTTGTGCTACGATAAGTCTTTCTTATCTGGTATGCACAGAAAAGGGTTTAGATTGTCGACAGCACAGCTGAATGAGCGCTTTAATTTACAGAGAATTTTGTAAGCCCCCTCCCTACTTTGATTCTATATTATCAGGAATGTAAACGCAATTATCAACGAAATCAGTAGAGAGAACACACACAATTGATTCGACTCGACTCCCCAAACGATTCGTTGTCGTCTCTCCCTGCTATAAATAAACAATGGACAATGACGATGGCTGATGGCTGATGGTTGATGGCCGCGGTCCGATCCGATCCGATCCGAGTGCCAAGAAGAGAGAATGAAATGTCGGGTTCCGCACCGCACCGCACCAATTCCCCGCTCCCATCGCCCACAAGACCCATTCAATTGCGTGCATGCACTTATTTCGGTTTCAGTTGTACTTGAATTTTGGCCCCAGAATAATTTATGGGGTTCTTTTGCTGGTTGCTGGTGGCTGGTGGCTCTGGTCGTAATGAATATGTTTTGCCGTTGCACGCCAAACTATGCGACACTTGGCCGTGTCAAGGGCACGACACACGAGGGGGGCGGGGGGAAAAAAGGAAAAACACTCACCTGACATTGGCATAATGCTGACCGGAGGAGTTCCAATCCACATGCTCTATGTCTGAAGACGTTTTGGCGTTGTCGCAAGGCATCTCTCTTCCGGTCCGGGGATAACGGATGGGGAGGGAGCGCGTACTCCTTTCTTTAAATGCCAGAGATCGCGGCAGGGTATCGCATAGTCGTGCAGACTAGGGGCTGTTCTCTTCTCTTTGGGGCTGCGACCCCTAGGGTTCTTTGTCTTTGATGCGCGCTGGATGGATGGCCTGGGCCTTTTGTTTATTTTCAATGATAAACAGATGCTGTCGCCCTCTGGCTGCTGGGCTGCTGGGCAGCTGACGCTGGCGCTGCTTTGTTTATAGCAAACGCAGCTTGATATTTTCCCTATTTCGCTGGCTCTTGGCTCGTTTTGCGTCGATTTTTGCCAAACGAGCACACAAATCTATTGCACTTTTATGTTCTTTCGAGGCTCAACGCAACGCCAACGAAATTCTGCAATCGCTCTTGGCTCTGGGCCCTCTGCTTGTGTGTAAGTGTGTGTGAGTGTTGGTGCGTCTATTATTATATACTTTAGCTGGTGCACAAAGAATGGTTTCTTTGCTCGTATTGATATTTTCCCCTTTGTTGGGACTGTGTCACAATGCGCCAGGTCTTTGACCGCAATCGGTTAAACTTTCACAAATTGTACATATTTTCCCCACTGTCAATTACAAATATAACACAAAGGCATCCTGATCCTATGGATATTTGTGTGGGATACTCGAAAAAAAAAATCGACAGGGTGTCTTGTTTACGTCCCGCGGCAAAAGATTTGTGAGACTGCAGTGTGACCGCGGACCCATTGACACTCAGAAATATGCCAAAATATACCGTCTCCTTTTCAAAGTATACCGTTAATATACTGTCGACTTATTCAAGTTCCATCCTGCCCACATAATTTCATCCCGTTAATGAATCAATTTTCTACTTGACTGGCTTGTTTTAAATACTCCCTTTTGTTATATTATATATAAAAAAAACGGACTTAGCGAAAAAAGTTAAGCAAATAAAAAGTAATTGAGTAATCATTGCTAATGCTCAATTTTGATATTCCGTTGAATAATGCAGGCTAAATAAGACTCTTAGCTCTGTCCACATAATTTAAGGCCATTGATGAATAAATTTCATACAAAAGTAGCTACTTTTAGGTACTCTTTTTTTTATTGTATTGTGTCTAAAACAAGGTTTAATCAAAAAAGGTTACAACAAGTAGCCTCCACGCAGAGAGGATAACCAATCAAAACAAGAGCAAGTCCTTCCAAACTTGAGCGCCAAATAGAAATGGTAGAAAGTGAATGAGCGACAAAGATTTAAGTGCAATGCCAGAAGCACGATTTGCGATAGCGAAAATTGAAAGACCTGTGCATGGAAGTTTCTATATCCTTTTGTTCATAAATATATCTTTAAAAATTAAATTTAAGAGATTGATAAAATATACCATTATATACCGTAAATATAACGTCGGTTCAATTTTGACCTCAAAAAATACCGAAAGGTACTAAAACTACCGTAAACCGTAAAATATTAGTGTGATCCGCCCGCGATCAAATATACCGAAATATACTTTCTCATGTTCAAAATAAACCGTATTATACCAAAACATTGATGAAATATACCACTATACACCGATTTCAATGGCAACATATAACCAAAAAAGTTAATATACCGTAAATGGTCATCTCTGCCCTTTTTGCTTTTTTTAGCACTTTGATAATTATTTGTCGACAAAATTTGTCATGTATTTCGCTCGGGGCATAGGGAATAGTGTGACCAAGTATGCATGCTCTATCCAAAATGGATGGTGGACTAACCGGGACATTTTCGGAATTTCAAAACCTTCCCCGAAATGGATGGTGGATCGTCAGTGTGAATAGCCTAGTATGGACCATTCCAGATATGGATGGTGAAAACAGGCTATTACAAATTTTCGTTGTTATCTTATCCCGTTTAAGCAAAGGGGGCTCAATTGTTTTTTCATTTTTTTCATTAGTATATTTACGGTATATTTAAAAATGCGACGGTATATTTCGGTATATTTTTGAGGGTTACATTTCCGACGGTCACACTGTCCGGCTGCCACTTTGACAGCTCCTCTCTTTTCTGTTCTTTTCCGGTAGAAACGTAAATCAAAATGGTTGGTTTCATCTAATATCGCTAAAATTCGATGCAATCCTGACACCAAAAAAGCAAATATGTGAATAAAACCGCAGCTGAAAATGCGCAGCTGAGGTTCTCGGTGAAATTTTATTGATTGCTGTCAGCGAATTGCCGAAAAAATTTTTTGTTTATGTGCGAGCCCAGTGTCTAATTGTGTTTCCCCCATGTCCCGCTTTATAGGGTCGCGTCAGAACCAAGACGATCAAGAAGGCCGCTAAGGTCATCATTGAGAAGTACTACACTCGGTTGACGATGGACTTCCACACCAACAAGCGTATCTGCGAGGAGGTCGCTATCATTCCCACCAAGCCCCTCCGCAACAAGATTGCCGGGTGAGTTGTCACATGCAGCCGGAGGCCACAAGAGTAACCACTGACCAATTGATGTATTTTTTTGCAGTTACGTTACCCACTTGATGGGCCGTCTTCGTCACTCCCAGGTGCGTGGTATTTCCATCAAGCTGCAGGAGGAGGAGCGTGAGCGTCGCGACAACTACGTCCCAGCCGTGTCCGCCCTGGAGCAAGACATCATCGAGGTCGATCCCGACACCAAGGAGATGTTGAAGCTGTTGGACTTCCACAACATCCGTGGTCTCCAGCTCACCCAGCCCAACACCAACAACTTTGGTCGTCGTAATTAACTTTCTAAGTAGATGCAGATGATGTTCTGATCCGTTTTGCATGGGTCGCAATAAACGATTTGTGTAAAGTGCAGATTTGAAGTCTTTTGTGTTCCTCCCCTATCCACAGGAAATCCGCTCCACTCTTGGTTTTTGGTGTTATTTATTCTCGTTTGATGGGAAAATACTGTACTGCTCATATAAAGATGTTTTTGTATATTCAATCCATAAATAAATGGGTTCGTTCCTATACAATGATGCGACGATACATATATAAAAAATTCTCTACGAGTGCAATTATGTTAATCTAAGCGTGTACACGGATACAAGTATATATGTAGATGTATATGTATATATAAGTATTATGTATGTATATTTATGTGAAGACTTGCAAGTCCATATATTTGTGCTCTCGAGCCGTTCAGGGTGCAGCTATGGTGGCTCCTGCTACGGCGACCGCTGCCTGATCTTGAGCGGGCCGGCGTACGGGATTACGCAAGACCAGCTCCGAATCCTCCGATATGATGGGCAGCGCATGGGCCCAGTGGTAATTTATCAAATGGCTAATGCTATCGAAAATGCGATCTTTGGTGCGAACCACGCCCTCGGGATCGATGAGCAGTAGATGCTTGGGCGTCTTGCCCTCCAGCCCAGTGAGGACATACTGGCCACGCTTTCCCTGAGATTCGCGTACCAGGAAGTCCCCATCCTGCTGTAACAGACGTTCGGAAATCGGTCTAGAGATGGCAGCGTGGAACCAGACTTCGGCAGTGAGTGGACACTGGGGCCCGTCGAAGACATCGCGCACCTGGCCGGCCGTTAGGGTGGAGGAGGAAGTAGTAGACGCCGACGAATGCCCGAGGGCTAGCTTGTTGGTAGTCTGATCGGGAGGCGGGGAATTGAGGTCGATGAGGTTGCTGCTAAGGCGATCGCGTGGCTTCTTCAGATTAAGTTGAGCCACACGCGGGGCATGAGAATGCAATGGGAGTTGGGCCGTTTGATGCTGCTGCTGCGGCTGGGAGCGTTTATCATCGTTGGGGAGCTCTGGTGGCAGCTTGTCGGGCAAATCGTTGTAATACTCTTTGACGTTCTCCTTGCAGCTCTGATTGATGTTATCGGCAGTGGGATCTTTATGCCTGCTCAGGGCGTTGAATCGCAGCGCAAAGGCCTTGCCAATGGTCACGATCAGATCCTCGCTCTGACCACCAGCGCACTCCAGGACGTAACAGGCACGCCACTCGTCCTCGTTCTTGGCAATGTAGGCCAGGAAGTCCAGGGTATCGTTGTCGCCCCCCGAGGCAAAGGAGATGCGCGGCATATTGTGATTGACTATCACCTCGCCCGATTCCACATTGCTCAGCGTGAGGGCGCGGCTGGACACATTGATGATGATGTTGGTGCCGGCATGCTGCATGCTGGGCCGGTCCGATATGAAGGAACACAGACGTCGCTTTCCGGCCGACTTCAGGCCTGCGGCCTCGCAGACGCGGTTGATGCACTCGCTGAGGAAAAACATGGGTAACAAAGTATTACTCAGCCATTAGAGATAAGATGTGACTTCCGCTTACCGCGCCAGCTGCGTGCGAGTCTCAAAGTCGAGAGATTTCATCGAGGTCTTGACCTCAACGCAGCCTGTATAGCGGACATTGAATGCAACTCCCACGCCCATTATGACGTCGTCTGGATAAATACACCCGTCGCTGGTGCCACCGGTACCAGATCTTGGGGCGCCGTTGCCGGCATCACCATTTCTCGGCATTTCGCTGTGCGTGTGCGTACTGGGCGTCCTTTGAATCCTTTTTTTTTCTTCCTTCCTCTTTGTTATTTATCTACAGCAGTGAGACCGCGGACTTATCGATAAAATATACCGTCCGACCCTCGGAAATATACCGAAACAAAACATCTCATTTAAAAAATATACCGTAAATATACTGACGAATTCAAGTTCTATTTTACATATTCCTCGTTTTGATATTCCGACGAATATTACTAGCTATATAGAACATTTAGCCATGCCCACAAAATTTTATACGATTGGTGAATATATTTCGTACTTGATTGGCCTATTCGAAATAATTGTTTCATTCATTTCATTTAATAATCTTAAGTCTTAATAAGACTTAATGTTTTTAGTGAAACGAAAGAACTAAAGTCTTAAGATACGATAATAGTATTTACAAAAAAAATTTAAAAGATAAATGGTAAAGTTGAATATGTCTGTTCTCATAACGGATACCTGTTGACCAGCAACAGTGACACGTTTTAAGCTTTGACTTTTTTTGTTGAAACCTTATTTTTTGCACAATCCAAAAGAAGGGAGTACTTAAAAGTAGCCAGACTTGTAGAAAATGTATTAATTAATGGGGTTAAAATATTTGTTCAAGGCTGATAGGCTGGACAAGGCACATTAACCAATTGTGGACTAGTGTACGTCCACGAAAATGTTGAATCTTGATGAAATTTAGCGCAGTTTAAGTAATAAGATACCTGTGTATCTTTAAGAAAGGATGAAGAAGAGGATGGACCTACTACTATTACTATTAGTATTATATAATGGTATATTTGATCAATTTCATCTATTAAATCTAATTTTCAAATGTATATTTATAAACAAAGGGTATACAAACTTCCGTACGCAGGCTTTTTTTATTTTCGCTCTCTTAAATCCTTGTTGCTCATTCACTTTCCAACAATTTCTTTTGGCGCGCTCAATGGGGGCCTAATTGAGAGTTTTTGGCTCTCTTGCTCTCTTTAAATAGGTTAAGTCTCTCTTTTTCGTTCTCTTTGAAGCGGTTATGAATCGGTAGCAAAAATGAGTGCCATTCCAGACTCATGTGGCTGAGAAAACGAGCAGCAGTCCGCAACATGGGCAACATTCTGCATACCCTAGGAAAAAGGATATTAAAGAATTTGCCGAAATGTTTGTAATATCAGGCTCCAATGAATGCAGAAACAGTCAGTCTCTGTTTCAAGGCTATCATAAGTGCAGTTTACTTTCTTCTTACAGAGACCATTGATATATACCCTCCACGAAAATAATTAATCTTGAAGAGTTTTAACGCAGTTTAGGTGAAAGATATCGGGGTCTTTTTAAGTAAAGATGAAGAAGAGGATGGACCTACAAGAGTATTACTATTAGTGAGTTAGTATTAGTTTAGTTAATATTCATATATTAGTTATTATTAGTATTAGTTTTCGTCTCAACTTAAGGTTTTATCCTGTTTAAATAAAGGGGGGTTTTTCTTCGGTTTATTTAGGGTATATTTTGAAAATAAGACGTTACTGGTTGCTCTCTCCTGGAACGAAAAAATGAGTGGTAATTTCGAATGGGCTATAAAGAAGGGTGTGGACAACAAACAACAACAGCCAAGACAAATCGCAAGTTTCGTACGAGCCACACACCTCACCTCTCGTGTGAGTGCAATATACCCTGAAGACAAAGAGTCGGTTTTACATTCAAGGTATATTAGGCGAAAGGGGTGCATTTTACCTGGCATGCATTGCACTTTCTGGGCCGTTTTGGGTGTACACGCCATACCCTCTTTCTCCTCCCATTATGTAGCAAATGTGTAGTTACCGTGTATGTAGCTTCAATCTCTTTGATTTCGGGTTTCGCTTGCGTGTAAACAAAATCATTACAATTTTTTCTGCCGTGCCGTTGCATTGGATATTGGATATACATAGTGATAGCCGTAACTGATAACTTTAGGATCCAATTGTCCAATTGTCTATTACCAAAACACAGACGAGCATCGCGTATACACACAAGAAAGAGCGCTTTTGGCCAAACAGAAGCCAACGAATTTTTTGTTAAAGCGAATGAAATAAGTTTCAACGGCATACGTACATAAAATATAAAAATATCTTTCGCACTACTTTGGCCGGAAAATACCATTTTTGTTGTTGTTTGAATCAATAAAACTGTGTGTGTGCATGCACGCCCGCATCTAACGCGCAGCCTCCGTCCACCAGCCACCAGCCCAAAATCTGCAGTAGACGCCCCATTCCGCATTGCATCTGGAACCCACCCGTCCGTATTCCGTTTTGTTTAATATTATTGCGGTAAGTTTCTGTTTCTTGGGACTTTGTGTCTTTGCTTTCGGCCATTCTTTGCCCACCGTCTTCGCGCTTTCGTGCCGCGGCCGTGTGGCTCAGTGAACACATAAATAAGGCATTAATTTTATGTCATGCCCGCTGGAATCATTACCGCCGCATGGATGGCCGATGGCCCCAGAGCTGGTGCGTTAGTCATTTGCATGGAAAAGATACATACATACATATGTATGCATCTTTCGGACTCGATGCGTCATTAGTGCCACAAGGCGGCCCCCGTTTAAGCCGTGCTTGCTTCCACCTCTCTCTCTCTCTCTCGCTCTCTCTCGTTATGGCTGGTGATCTCATCTGTTATTGCTTCCGCTTTGCGGCTGGCATTCTTCCAGCTGCCTCTGAGGCTGGGCCTGCCTCTGTTCTGGCCAACTGCAGGGATGGCCTTAATTCACGCCTCTGTGTATGCGATTCAGCCAAACGGCAGCCCCGTCGCACCTAATATGGTCTACGGTTCAGCTTAAAGCGTTTCCTCCGCCAATTAAGCACGATGACGTTGACCCTCAAACTACTGACGACGGGGTCCGCCACGGCTCCATTCATGGCATGCAAACCGTTTGGCGTTTACACACCCACGCCTCTATCTTGTTTTTATTGTTGCTCGCCAAGTGTTGATTACAACTTTGTTTAATTGCCTTCGAAGGCCTACAGTTGGCCAACTCTTTCCGTTGTAATTGGTTTTCGGATCCAACCTTCGGAAAGACGTTAACAATCGAAAGGAAAACAGACAGGTAGTTACATGGATGGCCTATTTTTGTGTAACCAACTAAAAATCGACTAAGAAAAGCAGTAAAATATAAACTTTCCTTTTAAACGCACTAATAAACGCAGAGCCACAGAGAAAACTTCCGTGTTTCATTTGCGTGGAACACTACACCCTGTAGTTTTACAGCATCTACGAGGCTGTTGGTCGTGCTTTTTGTGATTCTTTTTCCCCGTTTCCTTATATTTCATTTATGATTTTATGCCGCGTCATACACGGCCTTAAGCATATAAATTCATATCTTTCTGCGCATTTTACACGTCTTCGAACCACTGTAAAAAGTCACTGCATTCATGGAGCACCCTGATATAGTAACCTCTTAGGGCACCCTGTTAGCCGTGCTGCCCACCACAGAATGGATTCGTGCCGCTTTTAGTTTTCCATAATTTTACTATCGCTTTTATTGTTTTAGCAATGGACTACAAACTAGTAGATATATCGTATTTTACATGCATACACACTCAAGACACAGACGTGGACAACAACATTCACTATGAACTATAACACGTTGATTTTTTGAAATACTTAATTCGCCACTAGGAGGTGGCTTTAACACGAGCAAGACGGGAGGGTCAACAATTCTTTCAACTATATGAGCACGGTTGAAAGTAATTTAACCAAAAAAAACTCGCCACCCCCCTGCCCGCCCGCTCTATTACGCCATTGCTCCATCACTGGCCGCCCATCAGCTGTTCAAAGTCGGTTACGTAATACTGGGCCCGTCTGTAGACCTCGGGCCGCACCACGTTGCCGCCAAAGCCGATAAAGTAGTTGGCGGGCGGCACTGCCTCCAGATCGGTGGCCCCATCGCCGAGCATCGTGATGAGGGCGTCGTCGGCGTGCTGCTGCTTGATCATGGCGACGGCCTCCGCTTTACCGCCGGAGCGGGAGGTGGGCTGTGTGATGTCGAAGCTGTCGTAGGCGCCCTGGTAGTCGAACAGCATTTTGTTGGCATACACGTGTGCGAGGGGGATACCCAGCTCGGTGGCCACAGGGGCAATCAGGCAATCGAAGCCTCCGGATATGAGATACACCTGCTTGCCGTCCGCCTTCAACTGTGCCACAAAGCGCTTCACATTCTTGCTCAGGGTGCTGGGACGCTCGCGGATAAAGTCCACCACCTGCTGCTGGCTGGGTCGGATGATGTTGAGCCGTATCTTGAGGGCATCCTGGAAGGTCATGGCACCGCCCATCGCCTCCTTGGTGACGCGTGCCACCTCGGTGCCCTTGCCGCAGTACTCGGCCAGCTCGTCGATGCCCTCCTCGCAGATGACGGTGGAGTCGACGTCAAAGCAGACGATCTGCGACTGCTGGATGACCTTGGCGGCCAGCTGGGGCTGCTTGGGCGGCACTATAGCCGGTGTAACCGTGGTCTTGGCCCCTCCGTTGCTGGTGATGCTGAGCTGCTTGGCCAGCAGAGCTGCATTGCCGCCGCAGCCGTTGGTGGTGGCAGCCGGACGCGCCATGCTCAACACTGAACCGCTCATCTTGAGGAATGCGTATAAATTGGGCACAATTTTGTGGTTGCTGGGCAAAGTTTGACGTAAAAGCTTTACGTTAATCGCTTTGTTTGGTCTCCAAAATTTTCCGCTGCTTCTTTTTGTGTATCTCTTGTGCTTTTTTGCACACGCGCTTTACACTCTTCTTTCTCTACGGCTCTGCTCAGCTGTTTTTTGTTTTTGTTTGATAAGGTTTGCCCACAGACAGTCCAGAGTACTTTAATAGTTCAATAGTTTCTGAGGCTCTCGAACTGCTCACTTTGACTGAATTTTTACAAGTGAATACTGTTGTCGATCGCCCTTTTAAGAAAACTCGCTTTATACAAACACAGTCACAAAATGCATATACACATGTATAGCTGCCTCTCCTCTCTGAGTCTCTCACCAATTTTCAGACGCTGACCAGCGATCGTACGATAACAGCCAATTACAAGTGCCTCTCTCTGTCCCGTTCACTGTGTTTAGTCTCTGGGTGTGTGTCTGTGTGTGTGTGTGTGTGTGTGTGTGTGGTACGTGTGCGTTAGGGAGAGACAGACAACCATCTGCACCGTTACATTCACAATTGTTTTTCCTTGCACTCTTATCCGATGGTAACGCCGCACCGACTGAACATTCACCTGCAATTGAGTTTTCGCTGGAAATTGTGTTAAGGCAGCGACGTTTCCTGAAACGAGTGATACGGATTACCGAACGAACCTTTGCTCTCACCACGTTCTGGCTCCATGCGAGTAGAAGCGGGATGGCCATGTCTGGCTATCAGCAAACATAAACAAAAGAAATTATTTATTCGGAACTGTCATTAAACTCTCGGCGACACTCGATTGCTTAGGAGAACCGACTGAAACTGGTTTCGTAGAGCACGCTTATCATTTAGCACCATTACCACCATTAGCACTGGGCTGATTACTGGCGGCGGCGGTGGTGGTGGAGTGGTGGCCTGGGTCGGGCGACCAACTGGTCAAGCATCGAAAGACCACCTTAATCACTTGTTTTTCCCCACCACTCTGCTTATCAGGGTGCAGCGCATTCGCGTGTCTGCTCGATCCGATCAGATTTTAATACTTTCTTTTTTGCATTAATCATTGATGTGGAAAATAACCGAAATCCATACGGATTATCGCTTACGTAAGCTTCGGGTATTTTTAAAACAGAGGCAGACTTATATTTAAACTAGAGCCTGTATTCTGATCCGATTCTGATGAAATTCTGGGCTGGAGTTGCATCGCCTTACGTTACAATAGAACGTAAGCCGATCTCCCTCTCTTCTCGCTTTTCTGGGTCTCTCTCGTTCTGTCGCTGCCTGCTTTTGCCTCCTCTCCAGCAATTAGATAAAAGGCGCGTGCAAGCAAAAGCAACAAAAACAACAGCAACATCAATAGCATTGCCAGCAACAAATGCACTTTCAGTGGCTGCGGTTTCAGCTTTTTGTTGCTGTGTGTCGCCATTGTAGAATAACAAGTTGTTTTGACTGTTGGGCGTCTCGATCGTGTCGTAAACAACATAACAACAGGCTGCCGGACCGCAAAAGTATTTCATTGCCAAACGCTTTATAGAGGCATGGCCAATCGCCTACCGATAAACTATTCATTGCGTGTGCTGCGTGCATCTGCAGCTGCAGTCTCATGCATTTTGCAAGCGCGCCCCGGCCAGCGGCTTCCATTGAACCGAGCCGTGAACACATGATGATTGTATGCATGTATACCCTCGCAGAAGACATGTTGAATTTGGCCAGATGTTGGCAAGGAGAGACGGAAGCATCAACAGATGTAGCCATGGTCAAAAGGTCTGTCTGTTTCTAGGAAAAATAGTCCGTGTCTTTATGTACCTGTAGCTATCGAGCTATCGTATTGGTCGAAATAAGCATAAGACTTTGTGCCGGTAGATAGTCCAAACTAACCCCAGACGTTGTAGTTTCGTGGTCTCGTTCATAGCTCTACCAATGAAGATACAAATCGGATGGCTATGTATGGATGACATGGATGTATGTCTGGCTTTGGGCCCCGATTTCAGCCTTCGTTTCCTGGCTTATAATTGCCGTTGCCTTGAGCAACAGGGAACGAAGAAACCCCTGGTCTAGGCAGCACCTGTGCCTGGTACACCTGTGTTTGGGAACAGCACCTGACATTTTTGTTGTTGGGCGTTTTCGAGTTTTCCCTTGCCTTGGCAACTTTGTTTGACGGTTTTTCTTTTGGGTGCTGCACTGCCTTTGGTTTACAATTATCGATTGACCTTGTTGCTGAATACATTTCGAGCCTAGTCCATTTCTATTTTATTATTTGCCCTCCCAGGTACTTAGAGGATACAAGTCTGTGTACATAAAGGTAGGCTCGAGCCTGGGACAGGCTAATTTATTATGCCCATTGACCAATGGCCGGCACACACGGAGGAGCGTTTGACGTGATAATGGGTGCCAATTTACCGAAATTTCTATTTCCATTTTGAGGAAGGACGGGTTTTAGTGAGGCAGTTGACAGTCGCCTGTGAGCGAGCCCCGGCCCCCCTCCCTCCGAATGGGGTGCCTTCGTACAGGGCTGCCTGGCCAGGGCCTTGCATAATGACAGTTTGTGGGATTATTTTTTCGCAAACAGCTGATGGAAGCAGCAGGGGAATCTATACCCCCAGACAGAAGGCCGGGCCGGGCTGGGCCGGGAACGTGGTCGTAATTGAAGTATTAGTTTTCATCACCAACTGAGCTAATCGGAAGCGTCTTTATAGTATTAATTAGCGTGGAAATATATATGATCGTCTGGCCCTTTCTTGATTGATTTGTTTTGTTATTGTGCAGTTGGCAACGCTTTTGTTTCCAACGGCGCTTTTTGTTGCCTTTGCTGTTTGTGCTCCTCCTGTCGTCGTCTGCTGATTAACTGTTAAATTGAATGAACACTCCTCCCCATGCGCTCGCTGTCTCCCGCTCCCTCTTCCTCCCGTCAGCGGTGCGGTGCGCTCTTCTAACTAGCATGTTGTTTACAGCTGCACGCGATTTTAATTCTTTTGATTGCTCTCTCACGCTCACTTACACACACGCACACTGCAGCACTCGTGTGTGTGTGTGAGAGACAAGCTCACTTGACACATTTACAAGTGGAGCGAAAGGGGGGGAACAAGAACTGCAGTTTCGCTCCTTTTGTGGTGCGTGGTTTTCATTCTTTTGTTGCTTTTGCTGCTTCTTATTTTTGTTTTGCATCGTTTGGCGTATAAACAGTTACAAAGCAAGCTTGCTGTGTAGCAACGTCAACGGTTGTGTTGTGCACTGGGCAAATAAACAACAATACAACAGAAGAGATATATACATATACATACATATGTACATAGGCAGAGTCAAAAGCCGAACGGTTTGATACCCGCACAGAATGCACCTTTCTACTGCAGCTTTCCGGTGTACATATGTATGTATGTATGTATGCAGTACATAATCGTGCGATTCCAGGACTATGCAGAAACACAGGAAACTTCAGCTTGTGATATCTCTGGAAACTCTAAATGAAACTGGCTCGACAAGAATCAGTCAGACGGATTCATTCGGGTCTGTCCGAAGTAGGTATACCCTCTGCTAGGGTATAACAAGTAGTCCCCTTTGCTGGGGGCCAAGCACATGTGCATACAGCCGTACATTTGCATTAATGTGGTGGCATGCTTGTGTGTGTGCGAAAAGGAAAACACGTCATTTGCTGCTATCGCACTTTGTAATTCGAGCAGCACTGCCATAAAGCTGCCATCGACGTCAGCGGCAGCAGCAACTGCGACAGCGACAGCGGCGGAGACAGCGCCAGAACGACTCTCAGAGCTCACTCCCTTCCGCCCAGACCATCCCCCCGTACAAATACTAACCATCAACAATGGGAAAAGTTTTGTGCCCCGCCCCCATCAAGTGTAATTACAAAAGCCCCGTTATTGTTGCTCCGCGCTCTGCCGTCGTCGGCGCCAACAGTTTGTTGCACTCGCAAATTAACAATAGCAATGCCATGTAAAAGGGTAACATAACGTAACGCAACGCAAGGCTTTGTCCTGTCAGACGTCCCGCCCAGGGGGATACCCAAACGCAACAGTTTCGACTGTAATCCCAGTCGAAGGCCCTGATTTGGGTCAGAAGACAGTTGGCAACGCAACAACGCCAAATGCAAAACGTAAATAAAGGGAAGCGGAGAACGTAGCTCCCACAAAAATTAAGGTTATAGGAAACACATTAGACTTTGCCCAACCTGCAAACTGCACCCCACACGTGTCGGGTGCGGTGCTGCTCTCTCATCTGCTGAATCATTCTGGAAAAAGCAACAGCACTGATTGGATGAATCGCATGTCCAACAATTGATTCCCAAAGTGTCCGCACCCAGCTCCAGTAATAGACAGTGCCGAACCCAAGCTGATAATCAAATTGTTTGCGAATCGTTCTTGCAACGCTCCATTAAATCCAAATTTTTCGATTGCCATTGCAGGAGAAGCACCAAAAACAGAACAGCACGAGGCCACATTTCACATTTGTAGGCCAGAGTAATCAGGAGAAGCAACAGCAACAGCACCAGCAACAGCTACAGCTACAGAATGGCGGACTTCCGTTTCGATATTAGGCCATTGTTTCCTGAGCCGATTGTCAGGGTGACCTCGAACCTCCTGCCGCACACTTTTCGCGGCGATCGGCGTCAGTGCCTGTAAGTATTGAAACTGGACGCGGAATAGGAATATCGGTTCGCATCTCACCCAGAAAGTGTCCACTAACCTCTGCGTTTCCCAGAGACGCCACCTCGAAGATGTCGGAGATAATCGACCGTCTGGGAGAGCTGTCGGCCACGTCGCAGGGCCTGTCTAAGCCGGTGACCACGGCCCAGCGTCTGCGGATGTCCGAGAACCAGACCATCTATCTGCTGGCTGATACCGAGGCAGGACACAAGTAAGACCCAAGCAGCGTGTGATCCGAGTACGAACCTCAATAAATGTGCCTTTTCAGTGGAGCTGTGACTGGGCTGCTCAAGGTGGGGAACAAGGATCTGTATCTGTTCGACGAGGCCGGTCAGACGCGCAAGGTGGAGCGGGCACCATCCATTCTGGACTTCTATGTGCACGAGTCCCGCCAGCGTACTGGTCTGGGCAAGCGTCTGTTCGAGACCATGCTGAGGGAGGAGAACTGGACCCCGTTGAAGTGCTCGGTGGACAGGCCGTCGGAGAAACTGCTGGCCTTCTTCGGAAAGCACTACGGCCTGGTGCGCACCATTCCGCAGTCCAATAACTTTGTTCTATATGAGGGATACTTTAATGAAGCCAACTCCTCGAGTGGCCATGCCCACGCCCAGTCTTCGCAGGAGGCCAAAAACGAACTGCACATTACAAACAGGTGAGTCCCTGGGGGCGTGACCGGGAGCGCGACCGGTGCCGGGTCTGGGCCTGGCTTGACTTGCCGCTGTTTGTGGCAATTAAGGCGTTCCTTTCGCTGCAGGAAACATTTCACTTTCAGTTGGCCATTTTTTTGGCCCCATTTGCATATCGTATGCAAATCGGACTGCCGTCGTGGCCTGCATTGTTTCTTTCTTTGATTGTTTGTTTGGCCAAAGGAAGCCCCGCAAAGCCCCGACCCTCCCCGACCCGCTCCGATCTGATCGATATCCGAATGAAATCCAGCATAATTAATCACTAGTCTAAGGACTCGCGGTGGCCTGTTGCTTTATGCTTTTTCTTTCGCTTTTGCTTTTGGTTTCCGTGCCTTAAACTTAAACTTACTAATTGATCTTTCTCTCTCTCGCCATCCACATGTTGCGCTAACTAATGATAACCAACCATGACCATCATCATCAACCAACCAATAAACGAAACAAACAGTCCTAACACACAACTCTTTGGTGCTACTTACTTGGGCGAGGAAGTCAACCACAGGCGACACGGCTCCCAGCAGCAGAAGCAGACCCCGAATGTGCTGCTGCAGCAAATAACACAGATCTCACCAAACGGACGGTATGGCGCCAGGCACCCCACCTGCACCATGGCAGAGGTACTAACAGACAAGTGGATGTGCGGAGGGGTTTTGCCCCGGAAGAGCACCCGGGGCGGCCCAAAGGGAATCTAAAAAATTATTCTAGTTTATAGTTTTTTTTTGGCTGAATGATCAAAATTATTTGTTAAATAGTAGGCCACGGCCCCCAGAGTATTTGGAACTCTGAGTAGGCCTTTTCGCCGGTTCAAATTTCGTTGTTTCACGTGTGTCATTAGGAGAGCTCTCGGAAAAGTTCAGTTCAAATTTATATTCGAAACCAAACGGATCTCTCTTACAATTCCTAGTGTAGAAAATACTTTTTACTAGTAATATTATTTTTTTTTGTTTGTTTTACATTCAAAATATTTACAACGAAATCCCAAGCCGAGTCTCGTCGCGAATTGTGTCAAGTGTTTCGTGCCGATTAGTCGTTTCTAGTGTTGAAAATTATGGAAGCCAAACGCGGTAATAATGCCTCGGCCACACGCCATGCCACTCACGCATCTCGGACTAGTGTTGCCGTAAGTTGAACGTGTAGCTCAACCTCAACCATCTTGCACTGATGAGGGTTCCCTGGCTTTTGCAGTCACGCCATGGCCAGCAGCCCGTAGGTGCAGGAGGACAAGGAGCCACCATGTCACGCAAACATGTCAGCGAGGCCAGCCTGACGCCCAGCCAGACCAGACGGGATACCGAGAACGTGAGCCTACTACTCGTGTTATGCCTTCGACCCTGCCGCGTGCTGACTCTCCCTCTTGCAGCCTCGCAAGAGTCCGTTGGATGCTCTGAGCCGGGCCGGCGTGGTTCGCCAGCAGGACCCCTTCCAACGTCGCTCGGGTCTGCAGGATGTGGACGAAGCCTTCCTGGCCACGAACGCCTTTGCCCGACCATCGCGCGTGCGTCACTCTGGACTAGATGGTTGGACTGATGCCGGCGCCGCCGTTCCAGCAGCTGCACCTGCTGCCATGGCCCCCATCCGCGTGACTGGCGGACAGGACCAGGCTCAGGTGGTGTACCAACAGACGCAGTCGCAACAGGGCATGCCCTTGCAGGCGGCCGCTGCCACACAGGATCAGCAGCAGATGCCGCCGACCCTGCAACAAACGCCGCCGGTGGCTGCTGTGCCCTCTCTGCAGCAGTTCAATCAGCAGCCGGCCGCTGGCCAGCCCACTCGCCACGAACCGTATCCCACTGGACGGGCCCATGTCCACCATAATCAGCAACAGCAGCAGCAGCAGGTTGCCTACGATCAGCAGCAACATCAACAGCAAATTGCCCAGCAGGAGACCCAGGCCATCGGCCAATCCCAGTCACAGGGACAACTGTCGCCACGCAAATATCAACAGCAGCCGCAGACGCAGGGCTTCGTAAATATCACAAAGTTCCTCGCTAGCTTGCGGAGAGATTAAAGAGCCGTTCCTCTGCCCCCCACAGCCTAATCAGCCCAATGTCGGTGGCGGAGAACGCGCTGCGGCTGGCGGACCTGGCAGCGGTGGTCAGCAGCAGCAGCAGCAGCAGCAACAACAGCAGCAGCACCACCAGCAGCAGCATGTTGGCGGCGGAGCCGCCCCGCCTCCCGAAGCCGAGATGTGCACCACGTGCCCCAACTGCCAGACCACCATCTACTTGGTGCGCTCCGCCGAAATGGGACATGGCGACAATTCTCTGCCCACTCAATAGATGCAAAGCATCAAAAGACTAAATTTCCAGTAGAACCAAATCACCCATACAATCAGTTTCGAAAGAAAATGAATTCCAGTAGCCCCCCGAAGGAGTAACCTAGTGTCGGACCACGTCCTCTGGGCCAAATTCTCTGTAATCCAAAATTTTCCTTGCAAGTGTTTTGTTTTTTTTTTTTTCTGGCTCGTTAGTGTCGTGAGAATGTTTATATTTATTTTTGTTAAATAAAAACCAACCCTTAGGAGGGATGTGTGTGTGCGATGTGTCACGACTTTCGCTGCCCCACAGAGTGGGTCAAATCCACCCTTAAGGAGAAAGTGGTGGTTGGATGACATGGAAGAGGGCAGGGTGGGTGCTGGCTGCGTGCCAAGGCGCTGTTTTGGGGGCGACATTTGGCCCACTAAAGCACCAAATTTACGTTTTGTAGCCCCGGATTTATATGAAGTTGTATGCTAAGCAAAGCAATTAATAAAGCAATTCCCTGATTCGCGCTACCACTCAAATGGGTCTTAATTAATACAAATAGTTAGATCTTATCACTAGAAAATACTAGAAATATTATTTTTCCCATGAAAATGTAGCTAATTTTGCCCCGTTTTCCATCCCATAGATAATTTCTGGAATCTCGAAGGTCAGCACCAAAGGCGCAGGTGGCACCGGCAGTGGAGAGTCGAGCAGGTGAGGCGCAACATTCCTTGCATCCATCTATGCATCCAGATCATCCAGAGCATTACCTCCCAGTCCATTATCATTTCCGTGTACCGTCTACATTTGGGTTTGATTTCTTTCTTTTCGTTTTTGTTTTTCAGAATCAAATAGATAAGGTCAATCCACATAAAATGCACACACGGCTACAATAGACATACATACATATTAGATAATTCGGTAGAGAAAAAGATTTATAAACTTAAACAGGAATTGTACAAAGCTTTGATTTTAGCCAATTATTTATACTTTCGCCTAGCTAATTCACACAAAGAATTTACTTAATGTACGATAAATATCAGCAGAAGACGCTGCCTGCACTTGCCGCACCACCCCAGGGCCACAGCCACAGCCACGACCATCCAAACATACAAAAGATAATCCCACACTATTGGAACCGTCACACACAAACAAACAAATACCTGACAATTGTGATCACAAGATACATATCTATTTTTTAACATTTAACGACATTTACATTTATTTGTGGTAATTTATTCGTCTTTGTTTTCTTTTTACTTGTCGAGAAATAAAACAAAGAATATTCTCGAGCATGCATCGAGTAACGAACCCAATGTCCATCCAAGAATTTTGTTCAGAATCTCAGGAGTGCAAATCAGTTTCTTAAAACCCCTTGTAACCCTCTTTCGACAGCGGCGGCCATGCCGATGGCAACAACATCGCAGAGGAGATGACCGCCCAAATGGACTTGCATCACCTGGAGGACCAGCAGCAGGCACACGGGCACATGAACACCAAACGTATGGACCTGCAGGAAGTCGCCGACCAGGAGGAGGCACACTTCATTCGGTACGGGCTGCCACCACAGATCGATTCACAGCCCGAGTTCGAACCAGAGCCGGAGCCATTAACACCACCATCACCGCCGGAGGTGGCCGAGAGCATCATCGGGGAGAACCGTAGGCCTGCGGGATTCCATCTCAGCAAGCAGCACACTGGAATGAAGAATCGCTCCTCTGGCGTGGGCATGGCTGTGATGCCCACCAGCAAGATGGAGTTCAACCAGGAGGAGCGCGAGGACTTCGGCGTGGTCAAGATAAATCGTCCGCCGGGACACAATGGCCACTCGCTGGGCCACGACAACACAGACGCCGTGTCCACGGTGTCCTCCGGCAACGGCGGTCACCTCACCAACGAGGGCTACAACGATCTTAAGTTCTATCACAACAGATTGTGGTAAGGGAAGGAAGACGGCCCCCCTCTTGGATCTTTTGTACGTGGCATATTAAGCATAATCAAGCAGATTTAACCAACAATTTAGAGAGTTAGCATGTACTACTTAACCAGGCCTAGGCAAAACACAACCTACTACACAAACCACAACTAGACGGTTCCTGTACTTCAGTTCGATCATTTTGTTGTGAGCTTCTTCAATGTTTTGTTGAATCGTTCATTTGTTACAAGCCTCGCACCCGGAACAGCAACGTATCCGTTTCCGTATCCGTAATTTATAGCGTCACAATACAATGTTAACAATAGCGAAATGTATGTAGAATAATTTCCGTCAGCACTAATTTAGAAAATAATTATTTTTTTTTTTTTAACTCTCGATTTATAGTAGCAGTGATGTATACTGAACCATATTTTACGGCTATAATCTCAATTGGGGTCCAGTCACATAATTCAACCCAATGTGTGTATCTTCCAATTGCAGCAAACGTGAATATTACGAGCAACTATATGGCGACTATATGCTATAACCAACCGCCCCAAGCCCCTTCCCCCAAAATATATAATCTCTAATCAACATTCCCGAATGAAAATTTGTCTTAAATTTTAGTTAATAGCGCCCAAATAAAGCACAATTTTTATCGATTCTATTTGCCGAGTAGAGGACCAAGGCTTTCCATTTTATCTGCAAGACAATTATGTACGATTACACACACGCATGAAATGGAAATCTACGGGCAGATCTGAGGTGCTGAGAAATCTTTAAAGTAGAGCTATCGTTGGTGTTGCAGGTGCTGCTGATCTAATCTAGTACTGGACATAGAATCCATCCGCCTGGCCTTCCTTTACATGTAGATGAAGTTGAACCTGGAAATGAAGGGAGCGAGTGGTTAATGGAGGGAAGATCTATCCATGATATGATATGATTTATTCAAGATTCTACTTACCGGCACAGGGCCTGCGGCAGCGATGAGATGATCGGTCCGTAGCCTTGCGAGTTGTCGTATAGCTCGAAGAGGGGCGCCGCAACGAGCTTATAATTTTTGGGCACAGCAAATAGTGCTAGATTACAGAAAACGATAGAGACAGAATTCATGTATGTAGAGATATCATGGAGCATTGTAAATCACACGGTGTATACGTATTAGCTAGATCGATTACAATCGGTTACAAAATTTACATATTATAAAGAATCTCTTGCGCTGCCACATGATATAAAAGCTGATATATAAAAGAGTCGTATGTATTATGTTTTACATTCATGGTTCGATTCGTTACACTCTAATTACTAGGATCCATCCGTTGGTCGGTCAGTGCTCTTGCTCTCGCCCAACGATGATCAACTAAAAATGATCGACTACTCTGATATGAACATAATTTCCATTAAGAGCAACATTATACAATGGTCTATGCGAATTAGTGGTGTCTTGTGCGCTGAAGCGGCAGCCTAGTGTTCAGCTCAGCGCACAAGCACAAAAATGAGCCGAAAGAGGTATAACAGAGTATTTCATTCATTTGGTTATGGTTACATATAAACGAGTGCTTATATTAAGAAGCGACTGGCCTGGCCTGGTCCTGGCTGCGCAGCGTTGCGCTGCATGCACACAAATCCGCACAACATGCCGGATTTGGGCGCACGTTACAATGCTCTGCTGCTGCTGCTGCCCTGCCTGCCCGTGACTCCCGACTATATTCGTACACAACCTTAAGACAAGAAGAACACATGACAATGACAATGACAGTAGTTGACAATAGTAAGAATACTCGTAGAAGTAAGGCAAATAATATCGTATGTATCGTAAGTATTTGGGGGGAGGGGGAAATATACAGCTTGCGCTCATACAGTCTCACATTGGATGTCGACATATTTACAAAATTAAGAATACAAGAACAATCATTGAATTTCGGATTTTGAGTGATTTTGAGGGAACCAAAAAAATATGCCAACACGCTGTTCTGAGCAACAAATACAAAATTTGAGATAGAGATACTATGTTGTACAATGGAATCTAGAATCAAAACTAAGCCCGGAGGAATTCTGTTTTTTTTTTCTGATCTGTTTTTCTGTTTGTTCGTTTCTCTTGATAGTAGAGGTGGGTGGCACGACACACCAGCACGGCGCTAATGGAACGGCTCAGGGTACATCGTAACTGGCGTTCCTGTCCGTATCTAAACAGCATTGAAAAGATATGACATGAGGTTTGTTAGCGTATTCGGTTTTGGCAAACAGAAATTTAAAAAAAACGATACAAGGAGTATATAGTACAAATTGAAATGGTTATTTCCAATGCATTTGTGCTTCTGGTGCAGTTCTCACGCCACTCAATATACCTACGCCGTGGGGCTAGCCAGAGCCAGCCAATTGGATATTTACCCTTTTCATGGAGTTGAACGAGGAACAGCCGCTTGTGCTCCTTGGGCTTGGTGATGTGCGGCGGAATGTACGGATACTGTGGTGGCTCGAAATTGGGACGCCACCAATTGCCAATGGTGTCCTCGACAATCCACTCCTGTTTGACGCCATCCTGACGACCCAGCGTCTATAAAAGCAAGCAACAAAAACTTCCATGTCATCCTTACTCTGGGATATATCTTCCGTTCTTCCCCTACCTCAGAAAGGAGTCGCTTCAGACCATCGACCTCGTCCTCTCCAGCATTGAGCTCCCCGCCAGGCAATTTAAAGAATGTCGTGCCAAGCTGCAGCAGCAGCACATGCGGCAGCCCATGCTCATGGACGAGGAGCACTCCCTCCACGGAGCGACGCATACCAATGCGATCGAATTCCTCGCGCATTCGCTGAAACCTTGATGGCACCGATGGATCCTTTTCAAAAAGCGGCTCCTTGGTGCCGAATGTGTAGTTAGTCAGAGGATATCTATGCAGGGGATACGTTAATATCGGTATATAACGCCACGGCCATATCCACTCTCCATCCAATGTCCTACTTACAGGTTGACGGTGCGATTTATGGTCAGGGCCTGATTCGCGGCAAATTTCTGCGTGCCGTTATTATTATTGCTGGCACTTCCACGGAGCGGCCAGCCGGAGCCCGATTTGTTTGAGACTTGCGAGGACGCCATTTTGTTATACACACAACCGCCCGCCAAGGAATTGGTTAAAAGTACGATGCGATCACCGGAATCAAGGGTTTTACGATGGGAAATAGTTTCCCAACAATTGCACTATAGTTTAGTTGGTGCCTATTGCTTTATTTGTAAAATTAGCCGCGGTTTTCAATGATTTTTTTATGTCCAGCGTATTGCAAAAAAAAAATTCACGCCGGTCGCGCTTATCGATAAAACATACCGTCCGACCATCAGAAATATACCGAAATATACCGTCTCATTTTCAAAATATACCGTAAATATACTGACGAATTCCAGTTCTATTTTACATATTCCTCGGTTTTGATATTCCGACGAATATTACTAGCTAAATAGAGCCCACATAATATTATACGATTAATGAATCAATTTTCTACCTGTCTGGCTTATTTGAACTACTTTCTTTTATTGGATATTGTCTGAAAAAGGTTTAGCGAAATAGGTAAAAAAAGAGGTTTTAGCGAAATAGGTCACACAAAAAAACGAAAGAGGATAGTCGTTCATATTGTTCAATTTTGATATTCCGTGAATAATTCCGGCTAACTAAAACCCTTAGTTCTGCCCACACAATTTTATCGACTAATTAATCAATTGTCTATTTGACTGGCTTCTTTTAGAATGTTTATAAAAAAGATTTTAGTGAAAAAGGTCAAATAAATAAAACGTAAGTGAGTAATCAATCCTATTGCTCAATTTTGATCCGTTGAATAATGCTGGCTAACTAAGACACTTAATTCTGTCCACATGGTCTTAGGCAATTTATGAAAACATTTTCTCCAAGATAAGAAAATTTAAATATTGTATTGTAGGGTTGCAACCGGTGTAGGGTATATTTAAAAAATGTGAAGGAATATGTCAGTAAAGTTTTGAAGACGATATTGTATATACGATATCGATACACTAGGCCTGCGACATACGTCTTTGCGTGTTGCCAGAGACGCAGTTTTTATTTGAATGGTGGTTAGGCATAGGAGCCCGGTGGCCAGTGGCAACAATGCGAACGCAGGTGCGTCTATTCGAAATATTCGATTATTTTTTTTTAATTTTCTGTCTTTCAGCTCAGCTATCTCCACTAATAGCAACAGAAAATATAGAAAAAATTGAATTTTGGCGCGAAAAATTATGGCTAAGGTGAAAATATACAATATAATCCTAACAAAAAATACTTTAAACTACTTGTATCATTGGATAATACACTTTTGTGAGCTCCTGAAGCCATAGAGGTTCTGCTGGATATATGGAGGAGATTATCGATGATTTTCTTGCTGTGAGGAAGAACTCGCACAAGCTCTACAAAGAAATGTCAGAAAACAATACATAAAAATGAGCATCAAGTTGCTCCATAATTTTAATGATTTCCAAAAACAGCTATTCTCAAGTCGCAAAAACCTAAGTCTGGCAATGGAAACGCTTATTCTTCGTCATTGCGTCCATTCCGATATCGATAGAAAACGCGAGGTGGTGTGAAAGGGCTATCAACAAATCCTAGTTTTTTGTTTATGTTGGGACGTTGTCGGAAAATTCGGCTGGCTGTTTTCCCGTTTCCCGTCTCCCTCTGCCATGAAAAGCTGCTAAAAAGGCTAAATATAAAAATCAGCGCAGCGCGGCCAGACCAACAGTCCGCTCTTCGCTCGGTGCATTGTTTTTCTAGTCGATAGAAAATATGTGAATCGAGACAGGAACGCAGCAGAAACGCATCTCGTGTCTGTGTGTATATGTATATGTACAACGGTGCGCCTGTGTTTGCATTTGTGTGAGTGCCTGGTACATGGGAAAATCATTATTATAAATGAAAACTGGTGAAATGTGTAAGTGCAGCATTGAAAATGCAACAGCAAGTTGCCGTCGCTTTGAACTTTTCCATTTTCATGTGCTCTTTTCATCTTCTTTTCTTCCCCTCGACCGCGGTGGCCAGACGACAACCAACTCCCACTTGTACGTGTGCGGGGTGCGCAGTGAAGAAGGGTGTTTACCTCTGTCCGATTTCCTGTGTGTATGAGTGCATGTGTGTGTGTGCGTGCCAGATAAAGACTTGAATTTCTGTTGGTTTTTTCCGTCCGTCGGAGGATATTAGTGTCGGACGGGAGGAGCCGCAAAAGCGTAATATGCTTGCATATCCATTAATTGCGCAAAAGGTCAAAAGTTAGGCACAACGAAATGTGGTAGGGACTATTTGGTCGGTGGGACGGACGGGGCCAGAGACAAAGAGGACGACGAATTCTGCTGGGTGAATTCGCCGTGCGGCGAATTCGGGTGGAAACGACCCCACACACACAAAAGCAGAAAAGGAGCAAAGGACATCGCCGAACTAAATAGAACTGAAGACTGTCGACGGCCTACAAATTGATAATTATGTCAGCGGCGGAACTTGAGGCGGAAGCTGCCGCCCAGGAACAGCAGCCCGAGCAGCACAGCAGCAGCGAACCCCACAGCGAACAAACGAACACTGCCAGCGAGGAGACTTTAAGCACAGCCACAAACAACTACAACAACAATGTGGACATTGACCAGCAGCTGCAGCAACACGCCCAGATGCAACAGCAGCAACAGCAACAGCAACAGGAGGGGGACAACGGCCTGGCCGGGCTGGGCCTAAGCCTGATGCAGAACTCGCCACCGCCGCACAGCTATCGCCATTCACGAGCCTATCGCCACTTCAAGAACCCGCCGCAGCCGCACATGTGCATCCGCACCACCACGGAGACGGGCGAGGAGCTGTTCATCAACGTCCTTAGCTGGACGCGCATTGTGATACCGCAGGAGCCCAGTGATCCCATACCCCTATACGGAGGCATGCGCGTGAGTTAACATTGCAGCTCCATGTGCCTCTCTGTAGACCATATACTCTTTCAATTTTAGGTGCCGCCTGGCAGCCCGCGTAGTCCACCCATTGTCTTTGCGGTGATGGCCAATCCAGAGGTCCTCAAGGACTCTGGGCGCCACAGCAAAGATCCGGAGGAGCGACGCGCAATGGTTGAGCTAATGTGCGACTTCGTGGAGGCTATGAATCCCGGCGTGAAACTAGTCAGGTTCTGTCTAAGGATATCCATTCGTATACAATATGTAAACTAACTCCTTAACCTTTTCCCCTATAGAAATGCCGTCATACTCAAAGATCGGGACATTTCCGGCGAGCTGAAAGATGTCTGGAATGCCGTACAGGCCCAGCGGGACCGCGAGCGTGAGGAGCAAATGCTGCAGCAGCGACAGCAGCAGCACTACCAGAACATCACCACACAGCAAATGTTTCCCAAATCGCCGGATGCGGCACGAGCTGCCAGTGCCGGCGCCGGGTTGAACGAGGCCAGCTCTCCACCGGCTCACATTGGAGAGCCGCTGATGGCAGAGCATGGTAATGCCAATGGCATCACATTGGCAGTGTTTGCCCAGCAGCTGGACAACAAGGTGGCCAGCGAGCAGACAGAACAGCAGCAGCAGCAGCACGTGGAGTCGCTGGCAACCATTGAGGATGCCTGTGTGGATCAGACGGATGCTGGAGGCAGTGGCTCAGTGGCTAATACGAATGGCTCAACGACTGCCATGGACAGTCAGCAAGCGGCGGAAGCCGAGCCAGAGGTTAAGATGTCCGCACACGTGGCCACCAATGGAGCCGGCACTCCCACAACAAGCTCTTCAACGCTCACGCCAGCTGCCACGCCACCAGTTGTAGCCGCAGCTGCACCCACACCCACACCTGTAGCTGCTGCTCCAGCCAAGAAGGAAAAACTTGGAGGCTTCCTGCCCAACGGCTGCATCTTCCCGCGCTTCAAGAACAACAAGCACAAGGACAAGGACAGCAGTCACAAGGAAGGCAAGAGCAAAGAGAAGACCCTTCTGAATGCCCTCAAGAAGAGCAAGGAGAAGAAGGTCGCCCCCAGCGAGCAGGCGGCTGGCGAGAAGGCGGCCGCCTCATCGGACAATGGCACCACGCAGTACGAGAAGAACTGCATCAACAATCTGGAGTGTGAGGTGCAGAAGCTCGATCTGAACGGCAGCAACAACGACACCAATATGTTCATTAAGCTAAAAGTGTCCTCGGCCAGTGCCACAGCGGCTGCCGCGGCCAAGTAGGCGGAGGAGGGGTAAAGATGCTGATTTATACTCGAACATTTTGTAGGTAAGTTGGAGTGTGGAAAAGGAGGGATACCCAAGCCCAGGCACTCAGAAGCGTAGTGGATAGTGGTGGCTCCACACCGTAGGGATCACCCTCTGGAGGGAGAGAAGAGACAGAGACAGAGAGATCGAGATCGAGATCAAGATTCAGGGTCTGTAGGAGTCACTGTTGTAGCACGTAGGGTTAGAGTCGTGTAGCATATACAAGATTTATATATACAGAATACGTTTATATATATACAACACACATATACACAAGTTGAATCGGTCAATTTTTGGATACAAATCCAGCCGCAGACTCGAAAAGAACCAGAACAGAACTACTCGTAGAACAGTTGTGCCATGCTCCCCATGCTCCCTATGCTCCCTAAGCTCCCCATGCTCCCCATGCTCATAGACATACAAATATAGACGATGACATTCACTCGCAGAATCTTCCCAGAATCGGCATTTAACTGAGAAATGATAAACGTATTTATATAGTTCAATATACAGATGTTTGCCTTATATACAATATGTCCCCAAAAAGAGAGAGACAGAGAGAGAGATAGAGAGAGAGAGAGCTAGAGCTAGAGAGCGACAAGAACCTAAAACCAGACAACAAATACAACATCAAGAACAAAGAATCAATGTATTTAAGCACACATTTAGGGACTGCATTGATGCCATGGCAATCGTCAAATGTAACTCATCCGCCAAATGAATATCAATCGCACTCACTCCACCACCACCAACCCAAACACATCTTAGACTAAAAGGTAAATCTATGCTAATCTAAACCCATTCCTCCATTTGTCAAATCCAATCTTGGAATTCCCAATGTGCATCCATTTTGTGAAAGTATTACGAATCTTCTTTGATCTCCGCGCTTTGAAGTTGAGGGGGGAGTACGACCTGCGATCGACGACCCACGACCTACGACCTACGACCTACGACCTACGACCTGTGGAGGCTTGCCCGCCGCTGCTGCTACGGCTGCTCCTGCGGCTCTATGAGAAACAACTAACTTATGTACCTTAATTGTATACCCGAACACAGAAGAAGTATAGTATACCAATCCGCAGAGTCGCTAATATGTCTTACATAACTTTTGTTAAAGTTTAACTTTTAACTTCTTGGTACTACTTGTATGACCTTCTTTTATAATTTGTTTAAGTTTTGTGCATGCTGCTGCTGTCGTTTAACTTTTTAGCTGTGTTTTAATTGTTTGTTTTTCTAACCCATCACAAAAAAAAGAACAAAAAAAAACACCCAATCCCTCAACTTCAAAGGAAGCCAGCCATTCATGCATTCACCCCATCATCACATCTGAAATATGATATCAAACAAAGAAAAAACTAGAAATTCGAATAAATATTCGGTAAACTCAACTGAAAGGAAAAAGTAAATGTTTCAACTGCAATATCGGACTGAACAATGCTGCCATATAAAAATATATACACACATATTTATATGCAAAACGAAACGAATGACTCTTTTGTATATTTCCCATAGATGAGGGAAATTTCAATTGTGATCCAATCGAAAATCAAATTTTGTTTCCACATCGAAAGAAATACACCATGTATACCGAATGAAATATAATTTTGTTTGAAATGAATCGAAGAATCTTCAGCAGAAAACGATTTTCTCCTTTTGGGCTTTTGTTCTTTTGAGAGTCTCTCTATTCCTTTGTTCGTTAAGGTGTGCCATACAGTAAAAGTGTATGAGAACTAATCAAAATCGATTGCTTTCAATTGGTATTATGTATAATTAGACGTAGAGTTTCCTGACTTCCGCGGAAGTCTTCTGAAGATGTAGATGGAGATGGAGAACGAACCCTAAAGTATATGCTAGTTTTTAACTGGTTGTAAATGAGAAATGCTCGTGTAAAATTAGTATTAAATCATGGCATGACCATTACAGCAACAGAACACCACAACATCACACTATAATTACAAATTAAAACTTAGTCTAAGTCTAAAAAAGCAATAATTTTACTTGAAAAGCGGTAAGGAAACGAAATGAAATGGCAAGAAAATTATGGGGTATGGGCGGGGGTGAGGGGGGGGGGGGGGGGGGGAGCGCGAAAAGTGCGTGTAAAATGTTGGATAACAATAACAATTCTACAACACAAACAAAAACAAAAACAAAAACACACTGACACAACTCACACACACAGAGAAACCAGCAAAGAAAACACCCACACATTTTTTTATATGTATGTATATGTATATGTAATAATAAAAGATCGTATTTGACAAAAGTGTAGTTTAATCTGCGATTTATTTCAAGAGAGGTAATAAATAATATCTGATAATATCTGAGATATATGCTGATTGATGAATGCTGCTGCCACTTCCTTCCAGAACTTCCTGTACAAGGCGACCCGAGGACCCCGGGGTCCTGGCCTACTCGTCCTTGTTGTTGACGGCCCTCAGGCGCTCCAGCTCGGCGCGCTCCTCCTTGTTGCGCAGCAGTGGCACGTTGTAGTCGAAGGCGTAGAAGAAGCCCTTGGGCTCGCCGGTCTCCTCGGGTCCGGGCACATAGGCGGGCTCCTCGTGCACGTACTCGCGCGTCTCGGCCTCCGTGGGCTGGTAGCGACCCTCCTGCTGGTACTCGGCGGCGTACGGATCGGGATTGTGGCCAGCGGCGGCGGCCAGCTCTCCCCAGAGTCGGAAGTGCTCCTCCTCGGCCTTGAGGACGGCCGGCGTCTTGGTGGCCGGCAGCTTCAGATGGGCGGGACGATTGTCCTCGACATGGAAGCCGGACTTGTCCGCATAGTAGGTGGCAACGAAGTCACGGCCATGGGGCTGGACGTACTTGTACGATCCGGTGACCTTGCCGGTCTCGTCGCGCTTCTCGTTCTTGCCCTGGTTCCAGTCCCTGTAGCCGTACGCGAACTGTCCCAGGCCGTCCTGTCCGTGGTACTGATGGGCGTCGTAGTGCTCCTCCACATACTCCTCGGGATGCTCGATCACACGACCCATGTACACGAACTGTCCCTGCTCGTTCCTGGCCTCGGGCAGGGGGTTCTCCCCCGTCTTTGGGGCATACTCGATGTCCCCGATGCCACGCAGCTGGGCGCTGTTCAAAAACTGTTGCGCCTCCTCGGGCGTGATGTTGATCTTGAAGATGTTCTCGCCGCTGGCGGCTGTGGCCTGAAAGAAGATGTCGATTGAATTGGATTAACTGTGAGATCAATTTGCCAGCAACGATGGCCAAAAATTATAGATGGCTTGTGCAATATTATACAATATTAACGACACGCTGCACGATTCTATAGATCATCTCCGCCGATGATGTCATTTCTTGGCTTTAGTAACTGATCAACAAAAATACTTGTCTGTGTAACTTGAAGTTAATTTTTTGTTTGCTTGCACATTGTACAACTAATATTTGCACTGACATTCGCGGCGGACCGGACACACACGCGGCTGACATTTATGGAGTCACAACCCGGACTTTAATTGAATATATTCAGATCCCATTCAGCGAAGATCATCTAATCGCGTGTCGTAAATTTCATCTTAATTATGCAAATTCTCTAGGGTGGTCTACTAACCAGCAACAGGGCAGCCAAAATGAAGCACTTCATTGTGTTGGGTGTTTGTGGCTTAAATCGAAATATTTGGGGTTTAGATACAATATATCCAGTGGTATCGTTTGGGTTACGTTTTCGCTGTTCTGCAGTTGGCGCGCTACTAATATCCGAGTAAGCCAAGGCACTGCTTATATACTAACTTTCAACTCGGACTTGTTTTTAGTTGTTGTTCTGCGCTTTGCATAAATCCCGACGTTCCGATATTTGAATGAAGATGTGCCTGAGCTCCGACTGTGTGCTGCCGAGTCGACCAGCATCACCTGTCCGGTTTCTTACTCAGCGTCAGAAGCGGTCGTCGGATCGGCAGTAACAACAATTCGAAGTTCATTATCAACGTCGCTCAAATTCGCACTTCTCACACTCACACTCACACTCACACTCGCACAGACACATACACAGATACATCATTAATTGTACAATACAATAATATGTATGCGGTATGCCCAATTAGTTATCTAATATTTGCCGTTCTATCGACTACCCATCTTTTGTTCCTATTGCTGAAACCCTTTAAGAGGGGCCGCCGCCGCCGTCTTTGGTCTTTGAGTGGCATTCTGTACGCTCGTTGGCTGTCAGTTTCGAGTATCTCAAAGATGGTTTTGTGGGAACACTTAAAATCCAATCCCATACCATCCGTGAATGTTTCAGGTGTATCGGACAATGAGAGCCAGAGGTTTAAGAAAATATTTGCACAATGATGAAGCTGGAAAAGAATCCATGCTGGACTTCATCGATCAATCGAAACATTTACCCATTTACATATTTGTATCTCAATGCATTCTGCATCTGTAGCTATCTTTTTGTTAATAATGTATTTACCCCGAAGGTCTCTGTTTGCTCAAACTTGGTCTTGGAATGTCGTATAGCCGAAACCATAACCAAAACATTTGAATACAACAAATAGATGTGTTTATTTCCATAACAGGATACTGCATAGTCGACCCTTGGAATGTGTGTATCTTTATTTCTGTTACCGGGCTATGATTTATTTACAATTAAGCATCTTTGAGCGCTTCAATCACTTTTTACTTTTAATTAATGCAAAATTTACAGCTTTGACTCAACTTTGGCTTTGGGTTTCCTGTAGATCGGCGGAAGTTTTCTGTTTAGACATGCGCCGACCCTCTCGATGTCCGCCTCACTTGTCTTGTGCATAATTAGATACACAACATATATTATATGCACGATGGTAATCACATCACTCAGAGCGCTATCAAGTGTCAGTTCAATACGCTCGGCTTGAGTGCAATTAGAGCCTCTCAACCTCTTTGTTTACGGAGATTTTTCGGATCGTTTCGCTTTGGAATCGGATCGTGATGGGTGCTGAAATGGGAGAACGATTGAAAGGCGCTTATTAGGGGGCTTACAAGGGCCGGCCGTGGCCGTGGCATTCTAGGGAGCAACGAAAACTGCGCAGTTTC